GCCAAGCAAAGGGCCTATCCTCATGGAGTTTTATGGGGGAGAGACACACAATTAAAAAGCAAACAAGCCAACGGGATAACACAGTTTAGGAAAGGACGAGCAGTTGGCCAGGCATTTAAACGTAAGCTTGGGAGGCTCACATATCCCATGTGACAATACCTGGGTTCTGGCCTGCCTCTTGATGGGGAGCCCCAAGCGATGCTTCCAGCAGCCAGGGTCTTAACACCCAAAGGGAATCCCCAGTTGAGTTCCAGGCTCTCGGTTTTGGTCTGACCCAACCCCAGCTATGATGGGCATTTGGGTACTCAATTAATAGGTCGAAAATCAGTCCTTCTAGGTCTCTTTCCAAAAAAAAAAAAATCTATCTTAAAGAAGATTATGCGGGGATGTAAAGAAGTAAATAAAAAAACAGGATGTGTTGGGGCCCGGCGCGGTGGCGCAAGTGGTTAAGTCCTCGCCTTGCACGCCCGGGATCCCATATGGGCGCCGGTTCTAATCCCGGCAGCCCCGCTTCCCTTCCAGCTCCCTGCCTGTGGCCTGGGAAAGCAGTCGAGGATGGCCCAAAGCTTTGGGACCCTGCACCCGCGTGGGAGACCCTGAAGAGGCTCCTGGCTTCGGATCGACCCGTTGCGGCTCACTTGGGGAGTGAATCATCGGATGGAAGATCTTCCTCTCTGTATCTCCTCTCTGTATATCTGCCTTTCCAATGAAAAAATAATAAAAATAAATCTTTAAAAAAAAAGCAGGATGTGACGAAACAGAGTAAGGCGGCTGCGGAGGGAGACAGGTAGATCCGGGATGGGGAGTGGGGTGGGGATGAAAGATCCGAGAAAGCCTAGCATGGTGTCTGGCCCCTCAGATCCTCGGCCACGTCGTGAGACACCTAAGAGTGTGGAGCCGCTCAAAGGGCTGCAAATACACCGTCCCTTCATGTGGCAACCATTTATCACAAAGACTGTGACCGGTGGTGTTAGTATCTATTTACTCGCATACATCGTCGGCTTCCATTTTTCTATCCAACTCTTGTGGGAGACGCTACAGAATTTTCTTCAGCCTTCCTCCCCTCCATTGTCACGGCGCTGTAACAGGAGGTACAGAACTGGGCGTACACAACTGGACCTGCACAATCTACATGTATTCTCACCAACGGCTGCCAATGGGAAACTGACCGCCTTTCCGTCCCAAATGATTAGTAACGTTGTCATGATGTCGACATGAGCGGACCTTTACCTTTTCGGCCACAAACAACGCCTCTTCAGCTTAGTCTGCTCAAACCGAGGGCCACGGACAGGCGCGCTGGAGGAGAGGCCTGCCGCCAGGCCCGGCACCTAGGCCCATCGCCCGGCCTCGCGGGACCAGCCCGACGCTCGGGGCCCCGGGGACCCCGGAAGGCCCGACGAGGTCGGGGGGCGGGACGCGTCCGAGGAGGCTCGGGGTCCCTCGGGGGGTGCCCCCTGCCCGCCCCCCGGGGGCCCGGCGGCCATGGCGCAGTGGGCCGAGCTGCCCCTCAGGGAGCCGAGGCCCGGCGCCTGCCCCTGGCGGCAACGCGCGTCCCGCGGGGGGCCCGGCGGCCCGGGGAGCCCGGAGAGGCTCCGTGGCTGGGCGGCCCCCGAATACCGGTGGAATGCGGGGCCGCCGCGGGCGCTCCCGCTGCACGGTCGTTGCCGGGAGACGTGCCCGGTGCCACAGGCCGCGGAGCCGCCGCTGCGCCCTCGGCTGGCTTCCGTGGGCCCGGCCTGGCTCCCGGGCCCGACCGCGGCGGCCGCGCCGGCCCGTGGGCCTCGCCGGCCGGCCACCGCGCAGGGCCCGCTGCCCTTCCTTCCCTCCCGCTCCAGGAAGGCCGAGGCGCAGGCGGCGCCCGGCAGGCCGTTCGTCCAGCACGCGGAGGCGCCGGGGCCTCGGGGCGGCGGCGCCCCGGGAGAGGACGCCGGGGAGGACGCGTGGGCCTGCGGCGTGGCGGGGTAAGGCCGGAGCCCGGGACGGCGAGGGCGGCCTCGGGCCTCGCTCCAGATGCCCACTGACCCGCCTCAGCCCCGCGAGCTGGCATCTTTGGTGCCGGAGGACCCTCCTTCGGGGCACACTCCTGGATGTCACCCCTTAGCAGCTTCGCTCTCCCGCGCGTCTGCTGTCCCAGGACCTGGCACGGTTGGAGCGGCTGCAGCTGTGGGTATTGCTGCAGAACCCACCGAAACTAGGATACGCCTTTTCTCTTAGCAATTAGGACCATTCAGCGAAACAAAGCCAGTAGGGCAGTTGGTTTTAATTTAATTATTTTTTAAGGTTTATCTATTTTTATTGGAAAGTCAGAGTTACAGAGTGAAGGAGAGACAGAGAGGAAGATCTTCTGCCCAATGAATGATTCACTCCCCAAGTGACTGTAATGGCCAGGGCTGAGCAGATAGGAAGCCAGGAGCCAGGAGCTTCTTCCCGTCTCCCACGCGGGAGCAGGGTCCCAAGGTTTTGTTCCGACCTTTCCGACTGCTTTCCCAGGCCACAAGCAGGGAGCTGGATGGGAAGGAAGGGACATGGAGCAGCTGGGATATGAAACAGCACTCATATGGGATCCCAGTGTGCAAAGTGAGGACTTTAGCTACTAGGCTTCCGTGGCGAGTCCTCTCTCTCTTTCTCTCTCTCTCTTTGTCTTTTGCCTCAGGACACCATACCTTAAATACAGTGACTGCTTTACATGGACCCTCATATACTTTAAAGCAGATTCATGCCTTTTTTTTTTTTTTTACAAGTTCTACATAATTCACCCTAGTACCCACCACCACAACACAAAGCACCAAATTCACATTTCAGCTTTGAGAGGTTCTCTGGGAATCTCCTTTCTCACCCTAAGCTTCTGTCAGATGTCCCAGTCTGGTGTGGCTCGCCTCTTGTTTCGGGCTGACTCCAGCTGATTCCTGTACCTGTCTGCACGAGCATGTTGCCACCTCCTGGTGGGAAGTCCAGGCCTTTGCTGTAACTTTGATGTAAAATGCTGAGCCTTTCTCATTCTGTGTCTGTCCCCCAACCCTACAGGGTCGTAAGGAAACAAAGGAACAGCCACAACAAACGGGGAAGGAGAAATGGTGCCAACGGTAGCCCCGGCCAGTGGATGTCCAGCATCCCTCAGGAGGTACAGTGGATGCTGTTGAACTTGGGCCCTGTGCAGCCTCTCCCATGGCCAAGAGTCGCCTGCCATTGGGTCTCAGAGCAAATGGAAACCATTGGTGTCTTTTAGCAGAGGGGAACTTAGCCAGCTTGTCTCTGAATCTCAAAATACATGTGATGGCAGGTGGGTTCCACTAAGGCCACTGGCCCCCCTTGTGATCCAGTGGCTCGTGTCCTCGTGTCCTCCTTTGTACCGTATGAGAACTGTGGCCGTGTTGGATGGGCTGTCAGGAAGTCGCCTAGCCTTGGAGAAACGCGTCAATTAGCTGACTCCTGTGGCGGCGACTGGGCCTTCCCAGCAGAGAGGTTTGGTTGGGCTCCTTTCGCTGTACGCCTCCGGTCAGCTGCCCCGATGGCTTTTCTGGAAGGGTATTCCTCTCACCAGCTATTTCACATGTTTTTGAATACAAATGGCCAGGTCCGATTCTTCATCCCACACAGTTGGAACCTCCAATTCTTCATTTCCCACAGCTCCCCTGCTGCTGCTCCGGTGACAGTTAGACCTCACACACCTTTCAGCCAGCAGTTACTTTGTACAGTCTTTGTAACCTTCCAGAAGAAGCTAATGTGTGGCTTCCTTGTCAACGCTCAACCGTCCCCTTTGAGCAGGATGTGCCACTTTGTGGGTCCCGTGAATCCTCAGGCCACATTGGAGCCCAGTTCTCCCAGTGCTCCCAGTGCTCCCAGTGCGGGGGATGGGACCTGGCAGCATCTGCCCTCTCTTGGAGAAACGCGTTTTATTTTACACAAGTTATCTTGTGTAACACAGTGAACAACTGACTTCATTCCCCAAACATTTGTTTTCTTGAAAGCTAATCACATCTTCACTTGCAAACTCACAGAGTTAGAACCTTCCTCTTTCCGTTCATTTCCAGTACCATCACCCAGTCCCCTGGACTATTCCCTAAGTCCTTCCTTAACTGCTGGAATCATGGTAAACAATACAAATTTTAGAGATTTCCTTTGGATGGTTTTATAAGTGTTCTGATCGGGTGCTCTTGATGTGTATGCCAGCCTGTACCAGGAACACACCGAGCAGGACACTTTCCTGTATTTTGAAAATGAGTTTTGAAGGCCTGCAAATGACTGTTTGGAACAAGGGCTACAGACTGTTGTGAAATTCCTGGATAGGTGTTAGCAAGCTGCTAAGGCTTGGATAAGAGGAGCCTGCATGTTCCTGGGGAATCTTGATCGCATTATCTAAGAGGGAGAAGGGAAATTCACAAAGTTGTATGCCTTTTTCCTTTTCCCAAAAAGCATGTAAAACGATGCACTTGATGTTTTAGAATCTTGCTGTTAAGTTGATCCTAAAACAAATATGTTTTAGAACTTCTCTCATTGGAACTTGGACTCAGAAGTACCTGTTCCTGAAAATAAAAACTTCCAACCCAGAAGGGATGGTGCTGCAGGTGGTAAGAAACCCGGATGTTTAATTTATATCGGAATACTTATGCGAAAGGGAGGTTGATTGGAATATAGTCAGTCTTATGTAATTCTTAACTCTTGTTTTTCTTTCCCCTCATACACATTCTTCCAGGCAGAGTTAAGGTAAGGATAAATGTCCGAACAACGTATGAAACATTGCATTAATATTTACTTGTATGTTCTGTAAAAAAAAAAGTTTTTCCTCAAAGTTTATTTCTGCAGAGTTCGTCAAATAAGTTGAAGTTTTGATATCTTACAGGGATGCAAACCATTGGTCATGAAACAATGTAATGAAGTTTGTTTTTTCAGTGTAACAACGCAGTGAGAGGGAATGGACTCCCGCTGTCTCTCAGTCCTTGCTAAAAAGGAAGCGAAATAGTCTCAGGCCTGAAGGCTTCCTAAGGCAGTATGAAAAAACCTGATTTTTCATTAGCCTTTTTTGATTAAACTGTAATAAGGCAGCTACAGAATAAAGGCAGTCTTGATGATATTCAGGACCCATTAGTTAATCCAAGCTGGCATTTGTAGGTTACACTAATTCCTACTGAAGTCGATAAAAACAACAACAACAGCACGGGACTGTGTGTAAGAGGACTTCTCCGACAGCAGTCTCGCCTACACCTCTGACTTTCCCCGGAAATCCGAGGCAGCGCATACTCCTGCGTGTGCAAGCGGAGACGATTATCTGGATTTTACCAAATATTCCTTGCTTAGAATAAAAACTGTACATTGCTAATCCAGAATAAGCAACCGAAGCATATGGTGTGTAAACGTCTTCTGATGTTTCATAGAATCACTTGGAGTTTCCGGTAGAGCAGCTTATGCTGGAACTGAATTTGTCAGAGCCTGCTCAGAGACGAACACAGGTCCGCACCCACCCATCACGCTCTTTAATGGCCGTCCTTAAAAGGTGTGCAGTTAATAAACTGTTGTCCATACTTATTCCGTTCTCAGACTTGCAAACAAGGAGTGTTTCAGTGGTGGAGTGACGCTCTTAATGAAGGAAGCACCATGGAGAACAGGTATTCTTGTGCAACTCTTCATTGCCTAACTAAAGTTAAACACAGATGAGTTAACACAAACCGGCAGAGGAGAGAGACCTGTGCGTGAGCAGCAGGCGGTAGCTGCAGATACCACAAGACAGTTCCTGTGTAAGACAGTGGCTGCGGCCTTCAGCCGAGGTTTAACTGGATGGAAGCCTTTCCCCGAGGGAGGCATGGGCACCTCAGGTCTCTGCTGCGTTACTCAGGGACCGAAGGGGTTGCCAACGTGACTCGAGTCATGCTAACAAGGACAGTAACTTAAAGGTCACGTATGTAATAACTGGTTGAATTTGGTATGCCAAAATAGCTGTTTGGGCTTTTTGCCACTACGAGGTATCACTTCTCTTTTCTGTGTTATAATTCTTTTTCTTTTTTGCATTCCAACCAGCTAGAATACTTCTGGAAAACACAGACCACAGAGCGAGCCTTTGGCCTGGCAGTGAAGCCGCTCACACCCCGTAGCCGAGTGTGTGCGGGCCCTTCCAGTGCTCTGATCCCAGTCCTCGCCCTGGCACACCCTGGGGGGGCACTAATGGTGCTTCCTGCTCCCGCCAGGGAGACCCAGCTGCAGCCCCTCCAGGCTCTCCGAGGAGTGAACCAGTGAATTTGGTTCTCCGCTGGAGGGCAAGGGTTTGGAGCAGAGGCCTTCTCCCTCCTGAATCCATTTTATTTCCCTCGTGTTATAAACAGCTAGTTTCACATGCCATTTGGAGCTAAATACTAACCAATCTTTGATAAGGGTTCTTTATATTGTCCTAATAGCATTTCAGTTCTAGTCAACAGACCATTCATCGAATAAATCTTGTTTTAAAGGGAGTTCAGAGCCTCGGCCGTGGAAGCTGGCTTACGTGGAAGCAGTAGTCCCATTTGTCTCTTCCCTTTGAACCACTCCTCACCAAGTGCTTCGGCTGAGAAGCACCTGGATTCTGTCGCTGGCCCCCCGATGCCGTTGGACCTCTGCTGGCCCTACGCAGACGGAGACTTCCTGAAGGACGCACGCGAGCTCCACGGTGGTCCACGCTCGGCTGTGGAGTGCAGGAGTGCGGAGGCTTTACCCGCTCCGCCCTGGACTTTGAGATACGGAAACGGCAGCGTGGAAGAGAACCTAACAGACGAAAGCGACTTGTCAGAAACTGAGAAAACGAATGATACTTTACTCAGCTATTTTAAAAAGATGGACTCAAAACTGAAGCCGGAAACAATAGAAAACATTGAAGAATCGCTCACTGAGGAGCCCGACGAGGCCTTTGCCTACCCCGACTTCCTCCCTGCCCCCTTCCAGGCGCTCGACTTGCACAAGCTGGCCCTCTCCAAGGCGGAAAGCTGGAGAGCAGCAGCGGCGGACCCTGCGGAGAGCTCCGTCGAACCTCTGATCACGCGGTTACTGGAACTCGAGAGACTGCAGCACGCAACCATACAGAAGGAGAAGCTCAGGGTGCAGCCCGCTCTCTGCGCACCGACAGCTCCCGAACAGCCCTCTGCATCCAAGGCTACGCCCAAAGGCAGGCAGCCCAAAGCAGCTGACCCGCTCAGTGCTCAGACGTCTTGTGCAGATAAAAGCCGAGAAAAAAGGAAGAACAACTGTGGCTCTTACAGGCTTGAGCAGAATGCTTCCAAATGGAATTGGAGCAGTTCCGGCAAATGGAAATGGGATTCTAGACCCACCTCCCTGAAAAGCTCATCCACCACGAGACAGCTGACTGCCTGTGATGACCCCAAGAGTCTCAGAGGTTCCCTTTTAAATCCAGGCCAAGGACTCGCCGCTAAACCCACGCTTGCACAAACAACTCACTCGCTGGTTACAATGGTCTCCACAAGGTACCTGCCACCGAGGTCTCCAATCCCTGTGTCACCTGTACCTCTGACTTTCCCCGAAAATCCGAGGGAAGACATCGAGGCACCACGGACTAAAAATCTCCACCGAAAAAACGTAGCATTGAATAGACCATACTATATTCAGAAGCTAAACTGTCTGTCCACGTCATTTATAGCTAAGAACAAGTGCTCACCCATTGACCAAAAATAACCTGTTCCGCCGGCCGCCGGCCCGCGTGTGTGAGCGAGGAGCCCTGCTGAGACACCGCTCACTTCAAGGCGCAGGTTCGAAACTCAAGCAGAGCAGAGCGGAACCGCACAACTGCCGCGTGACGGAGGCGGAGCAGAAGCTGTGAGAAGCCGCGCCGAGATGTCTCCACGCGGGCGTCCGGGCTGACATCTTTCGCCTGTCATGTTTCCAAGAAATGTTTTCCTTGGTAAACTAAATTATTCTGTTCAAAAGATTGTCCTTTTGTTGTGATGGTTCTCCAATATTATTCAATCATCAATAAATAGTACATTTGATTTATTTCTGCCGCGGCTGTTCTTTTCGTTGTATTTTAGTCTTAAGGAAGGGCAGTTATCGTGGGATTTATTTTATAGTTTTCTGCTTTCTTCTCACATCTCTAATCTGTGCGGTGGCTCAGCTGGGTAACCTTTCGCCTTGGAGTGCTGGCATCCAGTGTGGGCACCAGTTTGTGTCCAAGCTGCTCCGCTTGTTATCCAGTTCCCTGATTATGGGCTCGGGTCCTTGGGCACTTGTGCCCATGTAGGAGACCTGAAAGAAGCTCCTAGTTCCTGATTGGCTCAGCTCTGGCTCTTGCAGTCACTTGTGGAGTCAACCGGCAGACAGGAGATCTGTCTCTCAATCTTTCCAATAAAAATAATCTTAAAAAATAAAACAAACAGACAAAACGCCACAGACCTGCACACATTGTCTAGGCATCAGGTGGAGGGGACTGTCTCCATCCTTCATCGGCCTTCGGTGAAATTCCATATTTGGGCTTAAGGGCGGGTGAGTTAAAGGGTAACGCAAATAAGTGTTAAAGAGAGTATGTTTCTTTTCCAACATTAATGAAAGAGTAGGGCTCAAGTAATCTTAGACAGGGATAACAGGGTATGCTTGGCTTGTTTTTTGTTTGTTTTTTCTAGTTGATGTTTGCATGGCCGATCAGGGTGGGAAGGATCTAGCGTTAGGTAGAAGTGGGTGTGATCATCGTTCCCAAGCTTTCTATTTCTTCTTCCCATTTCTGGGGGCAGGGGAGATAGGGGGGTAGGCCATACCCAGCCCCCCAATCACCCCAGTACCTGAGGATGAGGAAGGGCCACCCGCTATCAACCCAGGGTCACAATGGTGCATGTTCCGAAGGTTCGGCCCCAGTAGATGCGATAGTTTTGAAATGCTGTTGATCTTGCCAATATGGATGAGGAATTCTTTCCAATGTCCGTTGGCTGACACCATCGACCTTATAGTCTCCAATCACCCAGATATTTGCTGTCATCATTTGGTTGGGGGTAGTTGCTGTATGTTCTGTTCTCCATTCTCTGCTCTGGTACCAGATGTCCTTTGCAGGCCCAATGAGCTACCATGTCCTCCATGTGCACCATGGTCTGCCGTCTAGCACTCCATCCTCTACACTGAGGACCAATTCTCCCAGGTGGGCTCCTGGACCTGAGCCTGATGACCTGGGCCATGCCGGGTTCCCCCTGCTTGCCCTCAGGCTCACAGGTCCAGCAGCCACCACACAGGCAGGCCCATGGCCCTGGACCATGAGACCCAGACCTGCCAGACTCCCTACCCCCGGGCTCACGGACCTGACTCCCATCACCCCCATCACTGATATGGCTCATCTTCCTCTGCATCCATCAGTGGGTACTTCAGCCTAGTTTGATCCAACCTGCTGTTCTGGTTGATGCTGCAGCCTAGCTTTTCCCAGTCAGCCCCCAGTCCTGCCTTGTCTGTAAACTGGCTGGTGATGTGGCCCAACTCAGCCCCTCCTGCACCCCATCCTGGTCCTCAGATCTGCCACTGGATGTTATGAACTGGCCTGGCGTGCCCCCTGACATGACCCACATCTATGCTGGTGGGTACTGGAACCTGGGCTGGGTTGGGCTGCTCCTTGCCTTGGTTCTTGTACTTACCTGCGGGGACTGCAGTCTGACAAAGGAGTTCACCAAACTCCTCTATCTGGTCTCCTCCCAGTGGCAGATCTTGCACATACCACTGGGTCCCTGACCCAGGTTGGCTTTGTCCATCTGTTGTCCTGGCATTAACAGTGTCCTTGTCCAGTCACCACATACCCTTTCTAGTTCTTACCATTAGGTATTGCAGCCCATCCATACCTGGTCCATACTCAGACACAGCTCTCACATGGTTGAGTGGGAGCCAAGACCTAGCCCAGCCCATTCTACACCCACCCTGACTCTCATGAGAACCAGTGGGTGCTGGAGTCAAGCCCAGTCCAGCCCTCAACCCAGGCGACACCCGTGCCAATGATTGCAACCATGTTCAGTCCAGGACAATGCACCAATCCTGGCACTCACAATCACCAATGGAAATTCCAGCCCAGCCTGGGTGTCCCCTTAACCTTGCAACCAGGCCTATTCCCAGTCACGGTTCTTGTGTGTGCCAATGGAGATTGCTGTTCCACATGGGTGAGCCCGCACATTGCTCTGTAGATTCTATCCCAGACCTGATTTGCTCACATATGTTGGCTACATGACCCAGCTCACAGAACCTTCCTTTTCCTGATGCTTTCTGGTGGGTTCCATGTTGTAGCCTTTCCAGAAGAGTGGCCTTATCCATGGAAGTCTCACTGAAGTCATTCCTCACCTGGACTTGACCCTAAGGTTCTTGCCGATCCCCACTTGCTCCATCTCTGATTTCCTGTTAGGCCCACACCCCCAAGATCCCAGAGCACATTGCCTGCCCGGGTTCCCCCAGCGCAGCCAGGTGGTTGGGAGGGTTGAGCACCTGAGCTCCTCCCACCAAAACGGTGGTGGTGGGCTGAGCAAGGGTCCTGTGTCGGCCCAGATCTACCTGCGATCTGCCCAGCTGTGATTACTGTTGAGGGACAAGCTCAGGATTTGCCCACTGCCTTGCAGTAGTGGCCTGAGCTAGGATCCGAAGCACTGAGCCTGGCTCAGCCTGTGTTCCTCCAGTGAGCCGTGTGGCTGGGTCGAGCCCTTGTGCCTCCAGCTTCAGACTCACTTCTGTGCCTGTTTTTTTTTTTTTTTAATTTTTCACATTTTATTATTATTGCTATCATTTTACGATACAGTTCCATATTCCCTTATCCACTCCCCAATTCCCTCCCCCCCCCAGTTCCTTTATATCATTACTAACATATAGTTCTTCATACTCAGTCATATGTTCATCATTGCAGGCATGGACAATGTGTGCCTGGTTTTTAAGTTAAGTAATTTCAGAGAATTTTCTGGGGCATACCAACAAAATAGAATAGTGTTTTCCTGAGTACATTGCATTTTTACTTGTGTCTCAATGGGATTCTTTTTTTAAAATTTATTTTTATTTTGAAAAATATGGAACGCTTCACAAATTTGCGTGCCATCCTTGCACAGGGTCCATGCTAATCTCTGTATCATTCCAATTTTAGTATATGTGCTGCTGAAGCGAGCACCTCAGTGGTAGTATATTGTTCTTATAATAATGTAGAAATATATTTTGCTTCAGTTACAACTCATTTAACTATTTGGTTCCCATTAGCCATTTTTACAATTCCTGTAACTTGAATCCTAAACCCTTTTAAAAATGACCAGTTTTCTGAATTTGTTCTACTGTCTTTATCAAGGTGCATTTTACCCGCTCATCTCTGGAGCGCTAAGGATAGAACTGCATTTGTAAGATCCTGAGGCAGACACACTTGTCTTACCACTGCATCCTGGCACTCCGCTTCCTCGGTCTCTCCCTCCCCTTGCCTGCCCGTTCACGTCTGAGAGGCAGACAGATGGATTACTCTTGAAGCACGTTCAACAGTCAGCCATGGGCCAAGCCCAGGGTGTAGTTAGTAGGAACGCAAGCTCTTGCTTATCATCCGCTACCTCCCAAGGTAGCTCATGAGCAGGGTGCAGGATGCCCAGCCAAGCACTCCCGATGGGCAAGCAGGACTTCCCAGCTGCCTTCCATGCGATAAGGTGAGTGTGAGAAAAAGTGCCTGGCATGTAGCAAATACTAAGATAAAACAGATTAACCAAGGGGACATACCCCAAATGAGCTGCTCTGGCACTAACCATTACTGGAAGAACAATTTGCAGGAGGTTAACGTCCTCCTTGAAAGACAGGTGCTGCTGCAGAAACCTGGCATGCACGGCCTGCAGTTGGCAAACAGACTTCGTGAGGCCTGAAGTGGAAGTGGCCCTGGCTGTTCTGATGGTTACATTAACTTGGCTTGCTCCAAAATTCCAGTTTAGCTCTCCAAGACTGGCATTTCCCCAGAGAGAAATACCTAGAACTCTGGGAAGGCGGCCACCCACAGCCACTGCCACCTGACCCACTGGTTAATCCGTCAGGAGCGCAGCCGAGCAGCGCCTCCTACTGGAGGGTGGCTGCAGCTGGGCTGGCGTGCCCCACCCATTCTGTCTGCTCCCTCCCTCCTACCCAGAGGCCTGCTGCGCCAGCACACAGCTGCCCAATCCATCTTATTCATTTGCTTTAGAAATTGAAAGCATTTCTTCTTAATGTCGATGGCCTTCAGATAACACCCAGCACTTTTTGTCAGGTTTCCAACATGGTAATGATTAAATCATGGAAAAGGCAGTTAGTTGATTGTTTCTTTCCCCCCATTAGAAAAAACAGCAAAACTAAATCTAACAGGAATACTCATAATAATACACTCGTGGAAGCTCCCCTCTATACCTGCCCCTGTCCTGTTGGGTGGAAGTTCCCCTCCATACCTGTCCCTGTCCTGTTGGGTGGAAGTTCCCCTCCATACCTGCCCCTGTCCTGTAGGGTGGAAGTTCCCCTCCATACCTGCCCCTGTCCTGTTGGGTGGAAGTTCCCCTCCATACCTGCCCCTGTCCTGTTGGATGGAAGTTCCCCTCCATGCCTGTCCCTGTCCTGTTGGGTGGAAGTTCCCCTCCATACCTGTCCCTGTCCTGCAGGGCGCAGACGCCCACTCAGCTCTCTGAGAACTAGCTGAGATCCCAACTTTACCCCCCAGCTCCCGTCATACCAAGCACAGGTTACTTTTCCAAATACATCTACTTGTTTGACACTCAGACATCTGAAGAACACCAGTCAAGAACTTGAAACAATGTAAAATACCAAACTCACTCAAAGGAGAACTCAGGAGCCAATGTGACTAGAGGCGTGTTTTATTAAGTTTCTCAAAGGTTTGGGGGAACATGTGTTGTTGAAATTCTAGTTACAGTTCCAATGATACTATGAACACACAGGATACCACGGCAGCGTCCACATCTTGACCACTAAGTGGAAAGGTTCTTCAACAGTCCCTTACCCTAACACAGAAGGAAGAGAAAAATTAAGGATGCCACAGGATCTAGCAATCAAAACTGGAGAATGCTCTTAAGTTAGTGTACATCAGATTGACATGTAAAACACAGATGAGCTTGTGACATTCTTAAGGAAGCCTAGCCATCTAGCAGAATGACAAAGTTCCTGTTCAATAAATGCTGAAACTAGCATACTATCAGGAAAGAGACACACTGATTCAACCCAACTGCTCCCATCAGCAGAGCCTAAGGAGGGGACCATACGCTGACATGTAAGGCTGCCTTCCTAGCCTGGCAGCTGGAAGGGCAGGCCTGAGCTGCTGGGCCTAAATTTGAACACAGAGATGTCCCTCTGCGGCACAGGCAGATCTCTGTCTACAAATGATAAAAGGTAAACAGATGGGGGGGGGGGGAGGGTGAGAAATAAGGAACCAGACATCTGTCTATATCACACACATGAAAGAACAAATATTGTGTACTATAAAAGAGTCAAGTGTTTTGTTAATCACGAAGGATGTTACTGATAAGGCTCTAACGGTGACTACAAAGCAGGAGCTCCCACCTTGCTGAACAACTTCACCATTGCAGGCCCATTTCTGATGCTCCTCAGGAATCCAGCCTACGCCTGCTGGTCCAGATCTCAGGCCTCCCCCAGCCCCAGCGGCCACATCCCCGACAGCTGTGCCTGCACTGTTACTGCAGCAAGCAGTCACGATCACTTGGACTCGTTTTCTGCCACACAGCTAAAACCACAGAGCGTTCTCAAAGAACGCAGTCAGTCACGAAGGCTCACTCAAGGCCTCCGTCTGCTGGAGGGCCCGTGGAACTCCAACTTCCACCTTGGCAAGATGGCAAACCCCAATCAAAAACCCTGCATCTGTGTAAGTCATGATTGCAGGGCTCCTAGAAATGCCCAATTTGGGAATAAAAAAAAAATAGCAACACCTTTCTCCTTTCTATTACAAACAACTGCAAATGGCTCTGAATCTTCTATTTCCAGATCATGACTGCTACACTTGTTAAGGCCAAGGCTGACAGAGTGCTGCACAAGTGACTGACTGCTCTCTCACCACCCAAGCCTCCATCCCTGCCTAAGCCGACCGTCCCTGCCTAAGCCGACCGTGGCTCATCTCCAGGGGCAGACTCGAGGGCAGGTGTCTGTCACGCGGGCTCTCACCAGCCAGGGATGCGCTCACTGCTTGGATTTGTGGGCGAGTGGGGGGAGGCAGAGGTTATGACTGGACAAGCACTGACAGATGGACACAACAGCACTACTACTCTAGTACCAAGCACTCATGAAACCCAAATCACAATGCTGAAAACTCAAAGAATTACACAAGAACTAATGGAGAGATCTCTTTTTTGCTTTTTAAAATCTTTCATAGGACAGAAACCTTAGCTCATGTCTTCTGGTGGTCATCATCTTCCACTGAGCTGCACCTAAAACACAAAGAACAAGTAACAAGCAACTTTGTTTTTTAAAGAATAGGTAACAGTTTTGAAGGTATAAGATGAACTGTCTCTAGTGAAAATTACGTTACTTAAGTAATTCTATAAACTGAAGTTTTAAAAAAAAATTGCCAGAAGCACTAAAATGCTAACTATTTCAGATGGGGGGAAAAAAGACTTTTGACTATGCAGCATACGATCACCAAAATTCTGGTGGGCGATCGCTGTGCGGGTGATGAGGTGGGAGAGCTGCCCCTGTGGCGCCTTCGTCATCAGGCCCTAGTCCACCCGAGACACCGCCTGCGCTTGGCTCTCCACGCCTAAGGCATCAGGAGACAGGGCGCGGGCTCAGAGCTGGCTCATCCTGTCACCTCCGTGGGGTACTTTCATGTCTTTAAAGGAAGCAAACCCACCAGCAGCAAAGTGCTATTCTGATTTTCCATTCTTGAATGCACCAAAATGTGCATACTTCCTGTAATTAGGTTCCTGGGTGAAAAAAAAAATCCCATTTACAATTAAAACAAAAAAAACAAAAAAACAAAAAAAACCAAAAACCACTTATTTTAAGCCCTTAAAATCTGATAGCTTTTCATATTCCTCAGGGAGACAACCATTAATTTTACCCCCAAAACAGAATTACATACACTTTTGAAAATTCACCGTTATGTTAAGAATATAAATTCTTCTGCGTTGCCAAACCAAGCTGATTTACATGACGCTGCTAAGTGTTTATCTACACATGCTGTCAGAAATAACCTTGGTAAGGAGGTGAAGCTGGTGTCTCAGCAAATCAGACCCCTTGCAGAAGGCGTGGGATGGCCTGTGGCCCGTTTTCCTTTTTCTCTTTCCGCACCATCAAAAGGAAAAGTGAGAAAATAGCAGAAACATTAGTTAAATCCTGCATTGCACCCTGGAACCTACAGGAACAACCTCACTACACTGCAAGCTGACAATACTTGTAGGAACTTCTGATGAACTAAGTAGGGCGCCAATTATTAATAAAACGCTAAAGTTTTGGCCAAGTTTGTATCTTTAACAGCTAAAAGTTTCAGTTACTTGCAGGAAATCAAATGAAAGGCTGCTATTAAGTATTTATGGTTTACCTGACTTACCAGCACTGAAGACAAAACCTTTTAAAAATGGCTACAAATGCCTTGTTCACAAAAGACTTTATTACCTAGTGATGCGTACTGAGAACATACAGAAATCTGCATGGTCCATCTGACATGCAGCAAACAATCTTCACTTTACAATAAGTGAGTGTCAACTGTTTTATGCAATAGACAACACCTGAAAGTCACATTCTTAAAGAAAAGCTTCATTTACAAAAGAAAGAAAAGGTAAAGAAGCAATTACCGCTTTTAAAAAGCAGCTGCTTTGTTCAAGAGTGGGAGGGTTACGCCTGTATTGAGAGACAACATGGTCACAAATCATGAAAACAACCAACAAATGAAAAACACTTTTACCATAAAGCAGTCCACTTTCAAAATGACATACAAATAGTTAAAAATTTCATTATGTTGTCTATCTATCCTTTAAATATGAGGACTGTCAGAATTAGGCCTCAACTTTTGTAATTAGTAAATGAAAACTACACATTGTTTTTATGTTGCTAGGAACTCTAACAAAATGTATATAAAGTCTATAGCAAGTTGATTTAAAAAAGTAAAGTTAATAAGAAACAGTACACTGAAGGCGCTCTCTCCATCAAGCGCTACTCGTCCAATTTTTAATGTGATGAACAGAACAGAAACTGTAACTATGCTATAGTTACAATGCCAACAAATAAAAACAAGATCAGCTATCACACATGCAGGGAATTCTGCCACAATGCTAATATTCCTCATTGTCAATTGTCCCAATAAAAGAACAGCTTAAACCCCCAGTGATGTTGATGGGTCAGCTTACCTTCAGTGTACTGACTGACGCACACAACCTGCTCCCTAAGAGGACAGCATCCCTCGGCAGGCTCGGAGGCACAGGCCCCTTCGGCACTGACTACCCCAAGGGCATGCTGCTGTGGCCTGCACACACACCTAGGAAAACGTGAATATAAACAGCATTTACGCTGGCCGCTTTATCTCCAGACCACCCAGCATCACTACTCGTCAGAACAGATGGCTCCGTCTCTATGTGAACTGCAACCATGTACATTAGCACTGGGACTCTGTGCAGTCTTGGCAATAAAACAGTTCTACAGTGAAATTTCACATAAGACACAAAACAGATTAGCTAACATTGCTAAGAGAAATATCACCCTTGGAGTTAATTCAAATATATCATGCTTCCTCAAATTTGCTGGAGAAATATTTATAAGTTTATATACATTAATAAACTGCTGTGAAATTTCTTCAGTCTTTGTATTTAGTTACTCAAACCCGTGGAGTTTCTTCATCTCGTTTAAATCTTCTCCTGGATGAAGGCATGCTGTAGCGCCTGGTTGATGCTAATCCGCTTCGCGGGGTCCAGCATGAGGATCTGATCCAACAAGTCCTTCAGCTGGTGCACCTTCTTACGCTGGTCTTCAGGAAGCCGCTGGCACCCAATCAAATCGGCCAGCAGGTCCTTAGTTGGATTAATGGTACTCATGACAGTAACTTTCTCCTAAAACACAAGTTACCTTTATGTTACTAACTATACCTAACCCCAAATCAGACTTGTAGATTAAAAATATTGTTTGCATAATATATATTCACCCAGGCCATCTCTTCATGAAAATGTTAATGTAATTACTACCATCTTATCAAGAGGCAATGACAACACCAACATAAGGAGAACCGGCTGAGCGACATCCTCCTCACAGCTGTCCCTGTGTGGCGAGTGACCGACACGCAGACAAACCAACAGGAGGCTAAGTGCTCCCCGGGACATCAGCAGACGTTCACAGAAGGGGATGAAACACGAGGCTCTCTTCAGAGCAGCCAACACGGGTGTGTTTCCCTAAAGCTTGTAAAGAGAGGAGCCAGTCCAAGTGACCCAGTAGTTGGGGAGGCCCCGTGGTCAGGTGGGCAATGCCAGGTACAGAGCAGTGAGGAGAGTGGGAATGCTGAAGGCGGAACTGACGTCACAGGGAACCGCACTCTGTCACTCAGAGGAACCCAACCTCAGAGGTAACAGGGAGCCAGGGCGAGTAACAGGATCCAATTTGTCATGAAAAAGATCACTGGGGCAGCAACACAGGAGCAAGACCAGGAAAGTGATGAGAGCCCGAGTCTGACCGACATTAAGACAAGCCCGTTCTTTGAGTGAGATATTTTCAAACCCCTTCATGCACCAGCAACTTCTCCAGCAACACACCCAGAACATTCTTCCCCATCCTGGGACCCAAAGGCAACATGAGACGACCATCTCGGTCCCAGGGTTGCCGATGTAGTGTCACAACACGCTCCCCTTCCTGGAATCACTTCTCTCACCCACCTTGCTTCTCTATCCTAATGGAAGCCCACACAAGTCTTCAACCCCTTCACCCTTATAGTAACTATTAAATTAAAAAAAGCATTAAAAAAATCCCCTAGGGCCCGGTGTGGTAGCCTGGCGGCTGGAGTCTTCCTTGCTTTGGGCACACAGGGATCCCATGTGGGCGCCAGTTCTAGTCTTGGCAGCATCGCTTCCCATCCAGCTCCCTGCTTGTGGCCTGGGAGAGCAGTCAGGGATGGCCCGGGGCCCTGGGACCCTGCACCTGTGTGGGAGACCCGGGGGAGGCTCTGGGCTCCTGGCTTCGGATTGGCTTAGCTCTGGCTGCTGTGGCCGCTTGGGGGGGTTAGTCATGGACGGAAGATCTTCCTCTGTATATGTGCCTTTCCAATAAAAAGAAATAAATCTTTAAAGAAAGATTTCCCTCATCTTTTCCATAATGTAATGTGTTTTTTATTCAGGAACTGGCCAACAACAAAAACATCCTTCTGACATTTTACTTCCAGCAAAAAATTCACAGCATCTAGAGTACCACTCAGCACCCCACTCATTAGCAACGAGCTAGTCATTAACGCAGCGTGTTTAAGCAGACTCACCCTCTCTGTAACTTTATCCACTTCTATGTACATGAAGTTGAGATTCTGATCGAAATGCTGATCTTTGAATACTCCTTTCCGTATCATCTATGGAACAAAACAGAAGAAAACCTTGGGCTTTGAGCCACTGAGAAAGGCTGGCTTAACTAAGCACGGGCAAGCCACTCAGGCTTTCTCAGATTTTCCTACTTGTTGGATTAATTAACAGAAAAGTCAACAGCAAGGCTGCTAAGTTGCTAAGCACCACGCAATCACACCCTTCCCAGGCAGTGCCTTATGCTAATCACAATATCAGGTTGTGCCTGCAATTTTCAAAATGGGAACCAACCAAAGTATTTGCTCTCAGAAAAAAACAAAAACAAACATTATTCAACCAAGGCTTAGCAACTGGGAATCTTAATTTCCCACAGTCTATTCCTACAGCCCCAAGATGACAGAACGTAGGCTCCATCAAAGCACACACACACAATATTTTGTCGGAAACAGATTTGGAACGGCATCTGAAAACAGTAACAGCCTGATGCCGAGGGAAGCTCCTCACACAGAACTGCAGTGTACCTGACACGCCACGTGGCTCTTCCTGCCCAGTGACCCGGTGCTGCACCCAGCGGCCCGGCTCACACAGAAACTGGGAACCGTCTTACCTTATTCGGCATCTTTCCTTTAAGATCCATAGCAAGCTTCAGCATATGATTATTGGTTTTGCCAGGAAATAAAATTTTTCCAGTATAGAGTTCGTACAAGGTACATCCTACAGACCACATGTCTATACCATAGTCATAGCTTTTACCTATAACTGGAAAAGAAAATGAAAATCTTAACGAGGACAAGAATGATTGGCTACTACTAATTTTGATTCCCACTAGTTTAGGACTAACCTAGCTTGGATTATTACAATACCTTAATGCGGCCATCCGTTGGACGTTCTTTGCCACTAACACTTAACAGAAACTCTTAAATTTAAATCCCTTCCAAAAGCAAACAAAAAGCAAAGTATCTTTTTCCTCCTCTCCTTTCACCTTGGCTGGAGGTGCTACTCATTCCCCAGTGCGACAGGAGGGAAAATCCACAGGGGCACACATCCTACCCGCTGAGTCAGCAGCAGTGTGCCGCTGTGCAGGGGCCCACAGCTCCCCACAGCTCAGCGGGGAGGACGAGCTGGCCATGGCTCCCTTCCTCCAGTGTGAACACAGTGCTGGGACACCACATAGCCTGCTCCCACTGCAGAGGATGGCCCAGGCCCAAGGACATGTTAAAGAACTTACTGATTTCAGGAGCACGATAAAATCTACTGACAAGGTAAGGCGTTATGTCATTATCCGCAACATGGGAAGCCGACCCAAAATCACAAAGCTTTAAAATTGTTTTTGATTCATTAACCTGCAAAACATTTTCCCAAGGATATTTAATTCAAGTCAGGAATAATCAAAATAATAAACTGACTTTAATAAGTTATAGAAGGCCAAGTACAGTTAATTGTAATAAACATTTTTAACCAGGTGGGGTCATGAGAGAAAAAAAATATTTCATGAACCAAAGCATCTTCTAAACCCCCGCCCCCCAAAAAACCAAAAAAAAAGAAAAATCAAAACCCTAAACAAGTACCTATATGAAGTCTTTATTTACGCGAATAAAGACAGTCCTACGTAAGGACTCCAGTTACTTCCAATGCCAGAACACTGGGGTGGCGGGGGCAGCGTGATGCGGAGAACTGCATTCTCTCAGGCAGCTAAGCAGCCCACATTTAGCAATCACTTCACACACTGAAAACACCAAATCCCTTAACCACAAGAGATTAGTCCCCCAACTGTCAAACGTAACCGGCCAGTCGGATATACATGGGCGCGCTCTTTGCTCCTTGTAAATCCTTGCTCACACACAGTGACACCTGCCGAGGAAGGCTGGGGCTGCCCTGACTGCCACGCTGGACTCAGAGCATGTCTGGGATTAACAAGTGAAGATAATTCACACTCCAGAATCCCTTCCCCGCTTCAAGAGAGATGCACATGAATTTTGAGTTGGAATTTGAACTTGGCCTGCTGTTCCCACCCCAACTAACTGAACGCTTTAACCAGCACTGGGCACGCTTTATGAGGACACATTCAAGTCTGGTCAACGTTACAGACTGAATAGAAAATGCCCAAAACTAAAGTAACAGAAATGACTACTTTTAACTGCCACATCCATCAGCCTTCTCTTCACGGGAGAGCCAAGAAAACAGGCATCTCCAAAGGGCAGTTCTCCGGCACAAGCCAGCCAGCCTCGCCTACGCGGGAGCCTGGGCTCAATCCAACTCTCGACGAGCACACAGGGAGGGCGTGCAAGCTGGACCCCGTCTGTGCATTCCTGCCCCGCTGGACCGAGCGCCTCACTCCTGGCTCCAGGAGGCCCTTTGGGGAGTGACCCAGCGGGTGGAAGCTCTCTCTGCAACTGCTTTCTTTCCAAATAAGTGAATCTTCAAAAAGCAAGCAGACAAAAAGTGTAAGCTGAATTGCCAGAGAAACTGTCGGGGCCGGCTGCGACCCTCTAAAGCAGGGCTCCCACGCCCATGTGCGCCTTGGCCAGCCGCACAGCTGTCCTGGGGGATGCGGTGCTTCACCACCGAGGGCTCCAGTCCCGGCCTTAAAGGGCGAGTTTCACTAACAATTACCAGCCCCTTATGCTCTCTGAAACTTCTTCCACAGAAGGGAGAACATTCTGCTTCTGAAATTCATACAAAAATCTATACTACTTTAGCGAGAAAGCAAAGAAAAAAATGAAGTGTTGTAAAAAGAACACGTGTGGCTGTGTTGCCCTTTAACTCACACAGCGGTTCACTGCACTTTCTACACATCACAATCTTTAAAACTATGGAAGTCTGTAACTTATCTGCTACCTCACTGTGATCACTCAACTCCCCAACACTGAGTTATATTAGATATATCATAATAGAAACTAAATATGAAAACAAAGAGGCTTCACTGTGGTAGGATAGCAGAAAGTATCTTAAGAGCAAATTTGAACTAATGAGTTTACTCACTAGTAAAAGTCCTTAATTTCCCCCTCCTAGCCACAGGTTTATTAATCTGAAAGTGATCATCCATCTGTGAGATGACTCCCCCAACGGCCACCACAGCCAGGAAGGGCCAGAGCAGACCGGGCCAGGACATTCTGGTCTCCGGCGGGTGGGAGGAGCCCAAGGACCTGCTGCCTTCCCACACTCCTCAGCAGGAAGCTAGACCAGAGTAGCTGCGATTCAGACCAGCACTCCAATGCGAAATGTTACTGTTGCAAACAGCAGCTTGTAGTTCTTACAGCTTGAGTCACCAGCGCAGAGACCAAGGCTCCAATCGGGTAGGGAAGGCCGCCCTATGCACTCCCACCCACCTGAGCTTTACTGCGCTTGCTCGGGGCCCTGGAGCCCGGGAGGCTAACAGGAAGAGGAAGTCACTCCTAGGTACCTGCTAAACTCCCTAAAATGCCCCAAATTAAATCAGTCGATTTTGAAAACAAAGGAGCAAGATGACACCTTATTTCAAAACAGCAACCCATGTAAACACTACTTAGAAAAAAATACCATAGGAAAGCTGTTAACTATATTATTGCACTCTTGGGGTGTGGCCATGCCCTAAACCAATTCATCAATTTTCTTAGAACTTAGGGATGCGGGAGGGAAGACTGGCCTACTCCCTCTTTCGTTTTACCTCTTTACAAGGTATCATGGTCCATTTCTAAAAACCTAGATCACTTGTCATGCATTAACATAATGAATCATGCTTCAAAGATGTCACTTCTGGAGTAACAGTTATAATCACATAGCTATAAGAGATACAGGTGCACGGAGAGCTGGTTGGTGGGACTCACCAGGATGTTGTCCGGCTTGATGTCAGCATGGAGAATGTTACACCTTTTAAGGAGTTTCAAGGCCAGGAACAACTGCTGACTGTATGATCTTACGGCTTTGATATGAAGACCAACATCTTTACCATATTTTTTCAACACCTCTCGTAAATTCATACTTTTAGGAGAAAAACAAAAACACAAACGAGGTTAAAATGCAAAAATAAAAATGGAAAGGGGAACAGAATTTAAACTAAAATGATGTGCAACGAAATCATGCTGCTGAAGAACCTCTTCTAACAGCTGAGCAGTCACTCCGTGCCCGAACGACACGTCCGACTGCACACACACATGAGCAGTCACCCCACGCCCGAACGACACATCCGACTGCACACACACATGAGCAGTCACTCCACGCCCGAACGACACGTCCGGCTGCACACACATGAGCAGTCACTCCACGCCCGACTGCACACACACATGAGCAGTCACTCCACGCCCGAACGACACGTCCGACTGCACACACATGAGCAGTCACTCCACGCCCGAACGACACGTCCGACTGCACACACAATTTCCACATGTAGATCAAGTTTCACAACAAGTAGAGGAGATGCGAGTGGTGAGGCAATTTTCCCACTACACAACAGGAAAGCTGCACTGCAGAAGAACTGGCTCACTCGCCCCACTGCACTTCCGGGACCCGCTCTGCTGACCTGCTGGCCTCAGAGCAGCGTGTGGGGAAGCGTGCACAGCAAGTTCCTACCTAGGCATTCCTGCCGGTAATGAGCTTCCCCCAAAGCCACTGAAAAACACCACCAAAAACCAAGGGCTGCCCACGGAACCTCCCCCAGCACGCAGCACAGCTGTCCGCAGCCCGGATTCAGCACGCGGCTGGCGGAGGTGGGCGCGCTGGGCTCCAGGAGCAGACCCCACTGTACCTGAGGGGCTCAAACACGAGGCACAGGTGCTGCTTGTGGTAGAAGTGCCGGAAGAGCCGCAGACAGTGAAATTTGTCGTCAGGATCAGCATCATTAAGTTTTTTCAAAAACTCTAGTTCTTTCAAACCAGTCTTCTGCCTGAAAAAAAAAAATTAGGTGAAAACCGAACGCGCACAGAATTTAGTACAAGTTCACTAGACTCAGTCAGCTGTTACCACGGTGACGTGGCGTGTATTAATAAATCTGAGTAAAACGTACACATTAAAGCCAGTTATTTTCCTGACAGAGATAATCTCTAAAAATGAATGAACAAAACAGAGCCAAATCTCTTTGCTAGAAAAGTGAATCTTACACATTTTCCTTTCTTTTTTCTTTTTTCAAGGTTTTATTTTTACTGGAAAGGCAGACATACAGACAGGAGAGACACAGAAAGACCCCCCCACCCGCTAGTTAACTCCCCAAGCAGTCACAATGGCCAGAGGTGAGCTGACCCAAAGGCAGGAGCCAGGAGCTTTCCGAGTCTCCATGCTGGCCCAATCCTGCACACTTCCCCAGGGGCCAGTGCAGGGCATGGCAGGCTAAGCCTTCCGTGGCAGCATCCCATATGGGTGTGAGACCGAGTCCCAGCTGCTCCGCTTCGGATCCAGCTCCCTCCTCAGGCACCTAGGAAAGCAGCAGAGGGTGGCTTGGGGCTTTGCAAGGTCTGGACAGAAGCCCCTGGGTTCTGCTTCCGTTCGGCTCAGCTCTAGCTGCTGCAGCCATTTGGGGATACAAGACCTCTCTGTAAAGTCTGCCTTTTAAACAAAAATATATCAAAACTTAAAAAAAAAAATACGTTATTTCATAATTATTTCTAACATACATGTAACCACAGTTTACTAGCTTTGGTTTCACGAAGAATAATGTATACGTCTTATTACGTGTTAATGTTTGGCTGTCTGATGAAATTCTGGTTGTAATTTGTTAAGATTCTATATTTTACAGTGAAAGTGGATTATAGAGGAAAACAGAGGCTAGGCCAGGGCGGGTGGGGACTAGAAAGGGGCAGGGCAGGGGGTGTAGAAAGATCTTTCATTCACTGGTCTCATCAAACACCAAAGCCAAGAGCTGGGTACCCATCCAGGTACCCACGCAGCTGGCAGAGGCAGAGGCACATAGCCTTCACCTGCTGTGACCTCACGCACGAAGCTGCATGGAGGGGACAGGCAGGAAGGCTGCTTAACCTGCTGCCTGCACGTGGCAAACTGGCATCTCCCAACCGTGCACACTAGGTCAGACTGAGCTGCAGATGCAGTGTGGCCGAGGCAATCACCTGTCCTTGAACAGACAACAGATACACAGCAGATGCAAACCATCTCCATCACTACCCAACACATCACTTTGCTACCTCGGCAGGCCATTCTAACAACAACTCAATGAGTATCCTTTTTTATTTCTCACCTCTTGTCCTTCCCAGTGAAAGCTGGATAAGCAGTAGCAGGTAAGGTCTAACCTGGCATTAAGGTACATAGTAGGTGCTGAAATGCACTGAAATGAATCAAATACAGTCAGCCTGTGGCTCTAAAATACAATGCTTGCTTTATACAGACTGCCACGAATGCTGTGAAATGGCATTTTTACGCAGTTTCTCTTGAACCTAGCCACTAACGGCGTCTGCTTCTGAACTTACATGAGCTCGTTGTTTCTGATGATTTTGACAGCCACTTCCTGGTTGGCTCTTGCATTATCCCGGGCTCGCACCACGTTACTGAACACCCCTTGCCCAGTGTAGCCATACACGTTGTAACGCTTATCCAGCACCTCACCTATGTTCACACCTGGAAAGGCAAAGCAACAATTACAAGCCTGACCGCCCTGCAGGAGAACCGGAAAGGAGGCACACAGTGCCCACACTGCCGCCACAAGCCGACCGTGGCATCTTCAACACGACAGCTTACACACACAGTTCCAAAGCTCTGTCCCTCCTCTGCTCTTTGAGAACGCGGCTAGAAGCTGCACGCCTGCCTCAGCTCTCAAGAAGTTTCTGTTGTCCTAGCAACTGCTGATAATGTTAACATTCAGCAGGAAAGAAATAGGCTCACTTAAGTACCCCTAGTCACACATGACCAGCACCCAAAATTCCGGAGTATTTTTTTTTTCTTTAAATTTTGGTAACCAGTCAAGAAGGCCAAGTTAACATGCCCCGTCTTTATGGAGGACTCGCTCAGGACTAAAAACAACCCAGCAGAGTCAGGCTGCACACACCGTCTCCCCACTCACCTCCACCCAGGAGGCTCTGGGCTGCCTGAGGGAATGTGGGGACGGCTCACGCGGCTGCTGGGGTGCCCCGCTGGTCAGTGACAGCACTGTGGTATCCTCAGCTCTCCCATCACACGGCACTGCAGAGAGAACACGTTCCCACAGAGAAGCTAGGAAGGGGACTTACGGTAATAGCCTTCGGCATCAGTCCAGTTATCGCGAAGGTTGGGATTCTCTTTGAAGTCCTTGCCAATGCCAGCAGCACGAAGACGAGCGCTCTGAAACGAAGGAGGCAGTGTGAACTACCCGTCCACTAGTCAGAAACATAAACAGCTTCCTTGAAAGCCAGTTAAGCGCAAAACCAACAAAAAGCATTTTAGTTTAAATTAAACTCTTATCACCACTTGGGGTCAATGCAACATAGCTGACAAATGTTATCAAATCTCTTGTAGCATTGAATGCTGGAAAAAAATAATAACACAGCAAAAGCTTTCACAAATATGATTAAGGAATTATAAAAGAAAACTCCAAACCAGACCTGATTTTCCATAGCCGCTGATGGGCACATTAGGACAAACACTGAACTGTTACTTAGCTAACCATAGCAGCATCCAACTGCCTCTTCTACCAGCTCCTGACAGCCCTGTCACACAGACAGGAGATCCTCTTCCCACACCTGCGACACGTAGTGTATTCACCAGCCGAGTCCCGGTGGAAAGCACACGCACCTGTACTTGTGCATGCCCCATGCTCTGCCCCAGCTAGGCACACCAGCTGTGCCGCCATCCTGCTGCAGACACGGCCAGGGGCTGGTGCACTCCCAGTGCCCCCCAGCTAGGCACGCCAGCTGTGCCGCCATCCTGCTGCAGACACGGCCAGGGGCTGGTGCACTCCCAGTGCCCCCCAGCTAGGCACACCAGCCGTGCCGCCATCCTGCTGCAGACACGGCCAGGGGCTGGTGCACTCCCAGTGCCCCCCAGCTAGGCACACCAGCCGTGCCGCCATCCTGCTGCAGACACGGCCAGGGGCTGGTGCACTCCCAGTGCCCCCCAGCTAGGCACACCAGCCGTGCCGCCATCCTGCTGCAGACACAGCCAGGGGCCAGTCTTCTTGGAATCTTTAGTCTACACTGGCTGCTCATCATGCTTTCATCTTCTTGATGACGTGTGTCTTCTCCACCTCTACTTCTATCTTTATTTTCAAATAAATTTGTACTGAAAAACTTTTGAGGATGTTTATACAGGTTAGGATTTTTTCAATAAAAGGCAGTGATAAATGACTTAGGAAATAATCACTTAATGTGATTTCTTAATCCATTCCTTAATCTGTGTTTCCAATCCTCCCAGCAAACTCTTCTCATACTCATTGTACATTGCCTATAAAATAGAGGCCCAAAGTAGACTACATTCTAATGAAGGCAAGGGAAAAGGTGAGCACAGCCTTTTCTCGCCTAACCCCATGTGTGTGCGCACATCCAGCCCCGCTCCCCTGCAGGGGTACATGACACACACACCACGGACACGCAGCTGCGTCCCAGGCACGCGACTCTCAGCCTCAGGTTGTTCTGCTGTGCTTGCCTATGTTGCCCTCCATTTTAGAAGTATGATTTACAAAACTCATGTTATTTATACTCTTCCCTACTTAGTAGCTGAAATGAAATTACTTACATCGAAGTACGCAGCAAACATATCATCAGATTCTGTAAACATATCAGGTGCCAAGAGCTTCTTCTGAGACGACCCTTATCAGAATCAGCAGTGTGAAGGAAACACAGGTTACCACACGAGCCCAGCACCCACGTCTCCCCGCCCTCCTGCACCCGACTTCTGTCCACAGCACACTGAGGACCTGTCTTACGCTACACACACCATCACTCCCTACCAACAGCACCCATCTTCAGAAATCAAAACACCAATTAGATAGCACTGTTCTCTAATAACCCAATATCTAAATCTGATTCTGTATAAAAATGTAAGCTCCCGTTTACTCCCGATTTGCACCTTTTATGCAGTTAATAGTCCCACTATTAGCAATCAGTAGCAAGCCCCACAATCTCACAGAAAGCTAAGCCAAGAGAAACACATCAGTTCCTAGAATTAAAGAAAGCACCAATGGCAAGCATGTTAAAAATACAACTGAACACAATGAGATGCTGTCTCGTGCTTATGGCAGGGTAACACTGGTGTACCACCCCTACCCCCCTGACACTCTGCCTTTTAAATAAAAAACAAAAAACAAAACAAAACAAAAACCCACCACCACAACAACAAAACCCTCCATTAAGGTACATTCCTCATCTTTTTCACCTTGCCCTAATCCCAAATCCCCACCCACAAAAAACCTCTGACTGACAGAATAGACCTAGAACTTCAAAGTCTGAGTCAGAACAAAAACCTATGTCACTCACCATTATTCTGCTCAACAGTCATTAGATTATGCTTGGCCTTCACGGAGGCCTCAAAAGTATCCACGTTCTCCCGCTCATACTCCTTGACATCGGCCGCGACTCGCTCAAGGATGTCATCAGGAGACGGGGACCGCGACCGAGTACTGCTCTGGGGGCTGCTTGGCTCAGACGGGACGGACATGTTGCTGTCTTCGGCAAGGTACTTGTATTTCTATTGCAACAAACACAGAGTTTCTATAAGATCGGATGCTAAGAACTGCTGTACTAAAGAGTTTCAGATAATGCAAAACCACAACAAAGCTATTAATGCTGCATCTTAAATTCACAAACTCCCATCAGACGGCAAACCTGGACTGAGCAGGTGGAACGCTGCCAATCTTGCACTATCCTTGCACTGTGACAGTGCGACTGGCTGGAGACAGCTCGCTGTGCTGGACACTAGGGTCTGCTCGACTCCACTGACAGTGCTACTATAGACAGACTCATTGTACTGCCTTTGAAAAATGTAAGCACTCCTGAGTTCTGAAGCCCATCTAGCCCCAAGGACTGGAGATTAAGAAGCCATCGACCCAGAGAAGAACAGGAAGAGACTCAACCGCGTCTCTTCAGAGCTGCCAGTCTAACAGTCCAGGCATGAATGCTTCCTCTGGCACAGCAGTTTTGCTGACCCAGCCAGTTCCCTGGTGCCCGCGGGGCCACATCAGTTCACACGAGCTCCAAGGACTGCTCCTCCCTCACCTCCCCTCGCACAGCAGCCCGCCTAGCGCCGGTGAGCGAAGCACTTCACAGGGATCGGGTCTCTGGAGGCAGTCAGTGCTGGGGCTTGGCCTCATCGCTCAATGACTTGCTAAGTATAAAACAACCGCTTCTGTTGTCATTAACTACCATAAACTATCTTTTACTGTCATTATTTTGTTAGTAAAATTCTTCCACAGTAACAAGCAGTTTTCTGCTAAATGAAATTATCTCTACTCATTCTACATTCTTTCATCAGATTTTTCCGTATCAGTGCAGAATTTCTATCAGTATATCACAATCCTATATCTAACGGAGACACCTGTCCAACCTCAGAGCTAACTGTATACACACAGTCCTCGTAAAGGGCTGGTCAACTGTCACAATACAATCACTTCGCTGATAAAGCAAAACATTATTCTTACTAAGACAGTGACACTGAGGCCTGACGGAAGTCATGCTGACGTCACCAACCTGAACGATGGCCTGCCTCTGTATCCTTCGCTGCTCGATCAGCGCTTCTTCATCTTCTTCTTCCACGTCAAAATCTTCTAGGCTTAAAAACAAAAATTTAAGCATCCTTAGGAATTCTTAAAAAAAAAAAAAGACAAAACAAAACAAACAAACAAAAAAACTGCGAGCAATTCTTAACCCTTTAAAGCCCAATGCTCCAATGCTGGGCATTCAGTTGGACAGAAGTCCCAGGGACAGCTGTTGTGGGCAGCAAGCTAAGCAGCCTCGTGCAGCACCTCACACAGCAGGTGACAGCCAAGCACTCAGCTCCGCACTCACGGGGAGACTCAGACAGGGCTGTGCGGCTTTGGTCTGGCTGAGCCCCATCTATTGTGGCCATTTGGGGGTGACCCATCATACAGAAGACCAACGACACGACACCCCACAAAAATGCGTATTTCTTGTGTCAGTTAAGAATTTATAAAACTGCAGGAAAAAAGTATCAATGCAAGGGCCAGTCAAGACAGGCTGCCGTCAGTGAGCTCAAAGACCCAAGCCTTGCACTGCTCCACTCTGGTGCCAGCCGTGGGATTTGCTGCACCAGCTTCCTTAGTCGTCACCAAAACTGGGCTCAGAAAAAATTCCCACTGGCTGACCCCCAACTGCAGCCCAGTCGCTGGACCTCACTGGCCTCAGGGCCCTTGTCCATAAAGCCAGGGCTGCCCCCGGTGAGGGACCTGAGAGACCCCGGATCCTGGCCTGCTCCAGCCATGAGGAGAGTGAAACAGCAAGATCACAGGGAAAGTTCACAAAAGTTAAGATTCTTTCCCTATCCAAACTGCACACAGCTGCATATCAACTTGAGGGGAAGGGGGTTTGATGTCCAAACACTGCCCGATTCTTCTCGACCTTGTCCTCCGAAACCCTTACCCATCATCCTGCAATTCTTTCGGATGCAGCTTTTTTATGAACCTCTACTCAGTGTCCATAAAAGCAAAGTGCACTCTAACTACTGCATAACCTACCTGAACACTGTCCCTCCATCCAATGTTCTTCATCTAGTCTACTCTGAGCTCCTCAGCATCAGCACCACTCACTTTCTGACCTGGGCGGTTCTCTCCTGTGTGATCCAAGACACAGCACCTGCAGTGACTCAAGAACCAAGCCTGCCTGCGCACTGGCCACTGCCCCACCGCCTGGATGACTGTGTTCACACTTAAAAAAATCCCACCAATATTTCATTAGAAATGCTTCTCTAACTGCTGACAGGCAGATACGGCATCAGATAGCAAAGACAGCCTCAAGCGCAAACTCACTGCAAATCTAACCTTTTATTAAAAAATATATATATATTTCTATTGGAATATATCTATATTTCTATATATATTCTCTCTATATATATTCTATAAATATATATATTCTATATATATATATTCTATAAATATATACATATATATATATTTCTATTGGAAAGTCATATATGTAGAGAGGAGGAGAGACAGAGAGAAGATCTTCCATCCAATGATTCACTCTCGAAGTGACCACAACGGTTGGAGCTGAGCTGACCCTGGAGCCAGAAGCCAGGATCCTCCTCCCAGTTTCCCATGTGGGTGCAGGGTCCCAAGGCCTTGGGCTGTCTGTACTGTTCTGCTCTCCCAGGCCACAAGCAGGGAGCTGGATGGGAAACGCAGTTGCTGGGATGTGAACTGTCACCCATTTGAGATCCTGGCACATTCTGTGCCGGGTCCAAGTCTAACTTTTATAGAAATTCCCCCTAAAAACAAGTAACTCAGACTGGGAAGATTAACTAACACATCTGTTTGTAGGAGGACATTGTGAGCCTGGAAGGTCAGCGAGCACAGGTTTGCAGTTCATTGGACAGTATTTGCATGACAACAACCAAATGGCTACCTTTGGTATAAACAGCATGTAAATGAGAACACCTGGTGTAATATACAAAACAAAAGGAATTCCAATCAAGAGAGGGAAACAGTACGGACTCTCAGTGTATAAGGTCTGATGCCCCTAATAAACTTCGGCTTTGACCACCAGTCAGGGTCCACGCGTGTTATTATCGGCTCCGTCCCCCACAGAAAGTGGTGAGTGGGACAATGGGCCAGAACCAGTGTAGGGCACAGTCTTTTATCTCTCTTATGCAGAATTTTTTAGTGAAAAGTGGAGCAAAGATAACTAGGCAGCAATTGCGTTCTTATTTAGAGCTTATTGGTGAATATAATCATTGGTTTCCAGATGAATGGACACTAGAAACTGGATTTAAGAATTTTACTCAGAAAAATGCTGAAAAGGCCAGAAGGATAGAAGATATTCAAGTTAGTTTTTGGATTATATCAGCTTTAATTAGAGCTATTATCATAATTTTAGAAGGGGAATCTGCAAGAAACTCCTTTAAGAGGAGACACCCCCAAAATGTAGCTAAAAAAGAAGTGTTTCATAATATGGACAAGGAAGAAAGAGAAAGAGGACTCTTAAGAGGTCCACCTAACAGGAAAGGCTACTGTAATAGTTCTAAAAAAGAAGCGCCTCATAGTACAGATGAGGAGGATGGCAAAGAGCAGCCTGTGAGAGATTTCCCTAACGGGAGACGCCACCTTAACGTGGCTAGGAAAGAAATGGCTTATACTACAGATGAAGAAGATGAAAAAGAATGTGTTAGAGACCCTCCTGTGAGGATATGCCACTGTAATGCAGCTAAAAGAGAAAGGCCTTATGCTGCAGATGTGGAAATTAGGAAAAGAAAACTCAGGAGAGATTCTCCTAATGAAAGACGTTACCATAATGTGACTGAAAATGAAATGAGAACTAAGAAAAAGAAGAAAATTTGTAGTGTTAAACCACAGGATTTCTCTAGTGAGGTAAACAAGGATAGGACAATGGAAGAGTTAAATACCAGCCCATGCCATCTCACTCTTAAATCTGATCAAAGACTTTTCCAAATGTCTGTTCCCCGGAGACCTCATGAATTCCGATTGCTTTTTCCAATCATACTTAGTCAAGAAAACCATCAACCTACGTATGCAAGCTTAGATGTTAATGCCATCACAGCTTTTAAAAAGGCTTGCGTGTCCTACGGACCTACTTCTTCATATGTGTGGGAATATTTAAATGGCTGGAGCCAGGGAGCAAACTGGATTCCTTATGATTTTGAAGTAATAGCAAAAATAGGACTTTCTCCTTCTCAATATTTACAATGGAAAATGTGGAGAAGCGATATGGCTAAGGAAAAATTGCGATCGTTAGGACCATCAGGTCGCCAACTCCCTGGAGGGGGGCAATTGACTTATGATATGTTAGTCGGAGATGGACAGTGGGTTACTACAGAGCAGCAGATACTGCTACCTCAAGCTGCGTTCATTCATATACGAGACGTAGCATTGTGGGCATGGGAGAAAATTGAAGCTGGGTCTGAATTTGCAGGCAGTTATACAAAAGTCTTTCAAGGAGCCAGAGAATCTTATGCTGATTTTATAAGATGTTTGACAGACTCCATAGAAAAACAAGTTAGAGGAGAAGGCACTAGGAAATTGTTATTAAAGCAACTGGCTTTTGAGAATGCAAACGAGGACTGCCAGACTGTTATTCGTCCTATAAAAGAAAAGGAAGATATTTTTGGTTACCTCAAAGCCTGTCGCAACATAGGCACATTTAAACACCGCGCCCACCTAGCAGCACTTGAAACTTTTGCTATTCAAAAACAAATGAATGCTAAATGTTTTAACTGTGGCAAGCGAGGACACCTGAGAAAAAATTGCCGGATGCTTCCTACAACTCAAAGATACCACACTGATACTTCTAACAGTCACTCCCCAGGAACATGTCCTAAGTGCCAAAGAGGCCGGCACTGGAATAAAGAATGTAAATCTAAATTTGATCGTGGTGGCAGATGTTTGTGGCCAGAAGGCTTCTGGAGAAGCCAGCCCCAGGTCCCAAACATTCAGGAGTTTACAAAACAGGAACATCCTATTCAATTTGTGCCTGCAGAGAAGCTTCAAACTTAAAACAGCCAGCAAGTAAATCCTGGAGGCTGAAATTCCAATCAATTGTGGTGAATGCATGTTATTCATATAGCACTTTTTCTATACAGCATTGCTTAATCATGTATGCCAATTTTTAAGTACAAGTTTTTATATTAAGTTATGTTCTCTGTCTCATTAAGTCCTTATTGTTTAAAATTAACAAAGTGATGTTCTTGCTTTAAGGAGTATTTGGGCGACGGCATTATATCATTATAAGATGAAAGTTTGCTGTTTTTGTGTTAATGTACCCAGGTTGTAACTGCATGTCTTTTGGAATATTTTATAATGCTGAGGACACTGGAATACAAGAAAACTGGGATACAGGCCTTCAGTTTAACTGCTAGATTTCACAATATTGACCAATTTCAAGGTCTACGCAGTTCAGAAAATTATCTCTGGGGCCCAGCACAGTAGCCTAATGGTTGAAGTCCTCACCTTGCAATCACAGGATCCCATATGGGCGCTGGTTGGTATCCCAGCTGTTCCAGCTCCCTGCCTCTGGCCTGGGAAAGCAGTCGAGGACGGCCCTAAGCCTTCCCTACACCCACATGGGAGACCTGGAAGAAGCTCCTGGTTCCGGATCAGCTCAGCTCTAGCCATCAGGGCCACCTGGGGAGGGAACCAATGGACAGAACTCTCTTCTCTTTTTCTCTGTATATCTGGCTTTCTAATAAAAATAAAGAAAGAAGGAAGGAAAGAAAATGACCTCTGCCACACAACTTAAGCTACTTAGTACAAAATGTGGACTTTGAGTCAAGGACAAGATGAGCGGACTAACGTGCAGTAGTCAGGTGGCAGCACCAGCAAGTTCCCTTACTTGTCATCAGATGACGACTCCTGCTCAGCTTTCATTCCTTCGGAAAGGCTTCCTTTAAATTTATCTTCCTTCACTTTGCTTCGGCTCCTCCGCCTGCGGCCACCACGTGACCGGGACCTCCTTCTCAGGCGTGACCTGCTCCTCCGGCCTCTGTCCCTGTTGAAGACAAAGATGGTACTTCTATGAAGCTCTCAACAGACCCAGTTTCACTCAAAAACATTTTCTAAGAGGGTAATGAGCTAATCCTCCGCCCTGCGGCACTGGGTTCGTGTCCCAGCTGCCTGCTTCCCGTCCAGCTCCCTGCCTGTGGCCCAGGAAAGCAGTCAAGGACGGCCCACAGACTTGGGACCCGGCACCCATGTGGGAGACCCGGAGGAGGCTCCTGGCTTCGGACCAGCGCAGCTCTGCCTGGTGCACCCATTTGGAGAGTGAATTAGTGAAGAGAAGAACTTTCTGTCTCACCTCTCTGTGCATTTGCCTTTCAAACAAAAATAAAACTTAAAAAATTTACCTAAAAAATATTGTTATTTTAGAGGCAGAAGGAAATAGGGAATGAGAGTTCCCATGAATGGACTCAGTGCATGGGGGACTCAGGGAGGGGAGGGCAGTGAAGCTGGGAACCAGAAGCAACGTGTGTCTCCCATGTGAACGGCAGAAAACCTGCTCCCCAAGCCATCACTGCTGTCTGCTTAAGGCAGAGCTGGACTCAAGAACCAAGGACCACAGCGGGCATCCCACCTGTCAGGTCAAACACCTGCCCTGATGTCAATCACACACCTCACTCCTGAACACACAGCAACAAAGGACCCTGCCCCTGGATGAAGAAAGTCTTTAAACAAAACAACTCTAGAAAAGTTAAAGGAAGATAAAATTACAGAAAGACAAACTGCATCAGCTAAGAAATCATGCTATTTATGTGACTGGAATAAAAAAGTCCACAATGTCCTAGAAATGAAGCCTAAGTGCGAACATCGGTGAGCAACGCCAGCAGAACAAGACGCTCAGGGGAAGGAGGGCAGGACCAGGATGCCCTAGACCGAAAGCACACCGAGCGGCAACAAGATGGACGAGGTAACTGAAGTGGAACACCACAGAAGCCCCAATTAGACAATACAGGGACCAGGAGCCAGCACTGTGGTCTGGTCGGGAAAACCGCCGCCTGTAATCCAGCAACGCACACGGGTACCAGCTTGTGTCCCGCAAGCTCCGCCGCAGATGCAACTGGCTGCCGGTGGCCTGGGACAGCAGCCAGCATGGCCCAAGGGCTTAACTGCTACCAGTACGGCACCTCCCTGCCATGGCCGGGCCCAGTTCCAACTGCTGCACCTAACCAAGGAGCGAACCAGGAGATGGACGATTTCTGTCTCTCCTCTCTCTATAGCTTTGCCTTTCAAATAAACAATCTTAAAGCAAAAACAGAAAAATGGGGAAAAAATCAAAGAGACAGATGGACAACACTGCAGGACAGGTGGTCATAATCCCTGCCAGAGAGTATTCAGTGACCCACAGAACACCCAGGACACCGTGACTCCAAGGCACACGGCAGCAGTGTCCCAGCGGGGGCCTTTACGACAGCCAAGGAATCCCAGAGCTCTCCGCTGCGGGAATGGGACAGCAGAGCTGGAACAAGGACCGGTGCACCTTCTCAGAGCTTCTGAGGACTGTTACCCAAGCAGGGTGAAACAGGAGGACTCCACACATCACACCAACAAGAGACCTCCAGGAGGACACGGCCACCAACGCGCTCCAGAGAAAATGGCTTGTTTTAGCTTCTTACTTGGTGAAAGAGGTTGAGGCCAGGCAAGAATCAACAGCTGTGCCATCCAATCAGTGGCCCACTGCCTGGATGGCAGCAGCAGTTGGGTGGCCGGACCAAAGCAGGGAGACAGGAAGGCCATCTGGGTCCCCCACACTGGTGGCAGCAACCTAAGTACTTGAGTTGTCACTGCTTACTCCTGGCTGTACATTAGCAGGAGCTGGAACTCCAATCCAGGCCCTTCACAATGGGACGCGCTGATCCTGAGAGAGGCAGAACATCTACCAGTCACCCAGATAAGTTTCCATGCCAGCTCAAATAGGGCTTTGCCTGAAAGCCATCAGGAAAAAATCGACAAACACAACTACAGCCATCATCTGCTTTACTAGGTTAACGGATAAAACAAGCTTACATACTTAATATTCATTTCTCTTGAACAGAGAAACAAATGCCCTACAGATGAACTGAGTTTCAATGAGCAACAACATGTTTCAATTTGAAGGGAAATGACAGGACAGAAAAATCTGTGCTCCTAAAACATCACACAGGCCAAAGCCGACCACGGGACCCGAGTCAGGATTTTCAGATAAAAATGACACCTGTAGGAAAACCGTGGACTTCACAAATCTTCAGTGCCATAAAGCAAAAGGCTACCAATCAACATTCTAGAACACACATGTGCTTACCTTCTCCGTGGGGACCTGCTTCTTCTTCTTGGAGACCTACTGCGCCGCAGTGGGGAGCGAGACCGCCTTCTGATGGGAGACCTGCTTCTCCTTCGCGTCGGGGACCATCTGTTGATGGGGCTGACATCCTTGGATCTCTCCCGTCTACTGAGGACATCATCTCGTGGGCGTGTCCTTAACGGGATCCAACGCAAGTTAATACAAAAATAAATGAGACCACTCTACACGTAAGGAACACCTCAGGTGGTACTCACTGGCCACGTCTGTATCACAACTTAAGACTCCATGACATTTTGCTGCTCTCTTGGGGCCAGAACGGAAGGCCTATCCCCTTGATCTCACAGTCTGAGTAACTATGAAAAGCCACCTATTCTCATTTCAGTGATTACAAAGCTGCCCAATACTATTCCTTCAGTCTCAAGTTCTCTTCTCTACACCTTGAAATGTCTACAAGTGCGTGTTCCAACCTCTCCTGTTCACCGCCACCGTACACAGTTCCCACGGGGTTTCATGCTTCCTTAATGTGCTTTTTATCACTTGATTTTTAAGAACAGGTCTTCAACATTTCTTACTTTCTAATTGGTACAGGACACACAATCTCAACAGGTCAAATAAATGACAGGATGTTATAATCCCTGTCCCACACACTGAAAGCGTAAAAACAGAATCTGCTTTACAACTTGGATGTGGCCTAGGAAAAGCACAGCACCCCTCTGACACGGCTGATTAACTCACACTGAGAAGCACTTCCTGGGAGGGTCTCCTGAGGAAATTCCTCTCAGTACACCATGTGAGCCTTCTCAAAGGCCACAGAACGCCGTACCGTGATGGAATAAAGGACTGTCCAGAGCATGGAGTGTCACTGCAGGATAAAGGCCCCAGTTCTTAGTGAGGCAGTGACAATCCCGCCCAAGAGCTCAGCCCTTTTTTCTTCCAAGAGCTCCTTTCTCATATTTGCTTAGATGGGACAATGGCTGTGTGTGACACTAGCAGCCCATTCCTTCCATCTAACCTTGATTTGTACTCATGATTCAATCTTGTTTTATCCCATGCCACACTTCTCTCAGCCTCCAATACTGATTATTCTATGTTTAAATACACACACAGAGGCCCCACATCTAAGGCTAACATCCTGACAATGTCTACCAGCTCCAAGCATTTCTGCTGCCAAAGATAGGGCCTCTTTACAGCCAAAGAGCCGTGTGTGTGTGTGTATTTGTGCGCGCGCATATATATCTCATTTTCCTCATCTATTCACCCAGTGAGGGACACCAGGGCTCGGGCATCTCAGCTGTCCTGAGTAGTGTTACAACAGCCATGGTAAAGAATGTGCTGTTTTGCTACAACGATTCCATGTGTTTTGGATACATACACAAACAGGGAAGCTGCCAGCCACACAGCAGTTCCGGCTGAAGCTTTTAAAGGACTCTTCACTCTAGTTTTTCCAAGGGACTGCATTCATCTCTCCCTTTCACCAGCATTTTGTCCTTGGGATAACAGTCATTCCAACAGCAGTGAGGTGGCTTTGATTTCCATTTCCTTAATGGCTGGAAGAGCACTTTTTAATGTATTTGCTGGCTATTAGTACTTATTTTTGTTTCCCTAAAAAGGGTGACAAAATAGTATTGCATGGATCTAGCTGATAATGGTCTGGCAGCCAGCTTCTGCCATGTGAATGTTTATCCTACAGACTTGGCCAGTCCGCTTCTTGAATCTAGAAGGAACCACACACAGCTTGGGACATTTGTGAATTTCAATGTAAAGAACTGAAATGCAAAAGACTTACATTTGCATCAATTTCAAAACAGGAATGGTTAATTATGTTACATCTATTACGTTTCAATATCATGTTGCTTTTATAAAGAATGAAAAAGAATCTATATGTACTGCCATGAGTATTTTATGAAAAAAGCAAGCTACTTACTAACATGAGTTAATCAGACTCAGTAAGAAAACAGTGTGTATTACTTGGATTTCCTTTTGTACCGTTGCCGGAATTAAAAATAAATTGCATCAAATACCGAACTCTAGTCCTTAATAAACTCTTCAGAATTTTCTCTCCCAACTCCAAGTCTGCTAGATAATTAAGAAATATGTTGGAATATCTCCTAAGACAGCCCTTTGAAAACAACATGTTTGAATTTTCTGATAAGATGTAGATTTCAAGGTCAACTTATATTTTGACCTTTACACTGAAATTATGAACATGAATACACTAAATGGCTAGGACTTTGTAACATCTTACTATTGTATAAATCAACATCATCAAAATTAGGCTGATAATTTTATAGGAGATATTCCCCAAAGTAATGTGCACTGGTGTAAGGGACACTCGGCTGCAGTCCCAGGATTCTGGTCAACCGTGGCTTCGGACTCCCGCACCTACACTCAGAGCCGAAGCCCAGCAACGCACGAGTCACGCTAGCCCCATGAAGATACAGCAGAAGCGACACTCCGCCTGCTACGAAGTACCATCACCACTGATGAAAACCAAGCCATTTCTCACGCTAGCCTCCCTCAATGGTGGGATGCTGCGCTTCCCATTAATGAGATAATCCTGAGAACTGGGAACTAAAAGGTTTTAATATGGGTACCGGTTCCAATTCATAGTGTTTTGATCCAAAATCACACCAAAACAAGAGAAAGGCCAGATCATCTTTAAACACCTCATTTTCTTCCTTGTGAATCTGTTTTCACCTATATTGTTAAATGAGTAATTCATGGGATTGTGTGGCCTGAAAGGATCGACCCAGCAAATCAGACACTAAATCAAGAACTGTCATCAAGTTCAGCAGCTGTAAACTACTCTCAATGCTATAAATAATAGCTGGCAAACTAGGTTATGTTTAAAACTATAAATTCATTTCCACCTCATTGTGAGTTCCAGTTTCCCCTTTGAACTGTGGCGCACTGGTAAAGAAGCAAGACCACTGGGGAGCCAGGTTACCTGGGAGAAGACAGCCGCCTCCGGTCGGGTTCTCTCCGCTTCCTGTCCAGGGACCGGCTGCGCGCTCTCCTCCCGGGGGACAGGGTGCGCGAGGGGGACTTGCTGTGCTTGGACCCCCTGTCGGCGGTGAGCGGAGACCTGCTTCTCCTCGATCTATCCCGCAGTCTCGGGGACAAACTCCTTCTTTTGGGACTGCGACCAGGCCTCCTGCCGGGTGACCTGTTCTCCTTGCCGGAAGAGGCGTCCTTAGAGGGCGATTTGATTGGCTTCTTCTCTTTGTCCGTCTCAGAACGCCTTGCTTTTCTCTCTTTGGACCTTGACCTTCTGTCTTTGGATTTATCTCGGAAGTCAACTGGGGACCGGGACCTTTTACCCCGATCACGACTCCTCTCATTTAACACTGGGGATTTTTTCCTGTCTTTTGATTTGTTTCTGTCTTCAAGTTTCAGCTTCTCTTCGGGAGGCGATCTGGCCTTGCCACTTTTCTCCTGAGACCGCCTTCGCAGGGGGGGAGAGCGCGACTTCCTGGCCAGGTCCTGAGCCTTGCCCCCTCTGCAAGGACTTTTGGACTTTTTCCTTTCTTTTGACTTGCTCCTTGCCGCTTTGTCCTTAACCACTTCCATCCCTGTCTTACTTTTCTTTTTGTCCGACCTGTGTCTAGTCCGTTCTTTGGATCTGCTTTTACTTCGTTTTTTTGTACTGTTTTTATTGTCCCCAAGTTCAAGTTTCCCCTTTGTACTTGAAGATCTGGTACTAGACCTGTTCCCGTTCCTCACCTTTTCGTGAATCTCGCCCTCCTCTTCGGAGCCAGACTCATAGCCCTGCAGGATGAGCCCCATCCCCGACTGCACCTTCCCCTCCAGCAACTCGTTATCCAGCTCGGCTTTGATCAAGGCCCGCTGCTTCTCCAGGTCTTCCAGCAGAGCCAGGTCGTCCAGCTTGGTTCGCTTGGCCGGAGACAGGCCCTCCCTGTCCGAGGCGTCGGCCGCCTCCCTCCGCTTGTGCTTCTTGTGCTTGCGCCTGTGCCGGTGCTTTCTGTCCTTGTTGTCGTCCTCCGAGCAGTGTTTATGCTTCTTGTGTTTACTTCTGTGTTTATGCTTCTTTTTTTTATGCCGACTGTGTTTATTTTGGGATTGGTCTTCTGATACTTCTCCATTTTCTTCATTTACACTCTTTTCAGAATTATCAGCATCCTCCATCCTATAAATAAGCAACTCATTTTAAAATCACATTTATCAAATTCTCAGAACAGTAATGATAAATACAATTATATGCAACACATGAAATGACTAAAAAGGAATCCAAATTGAGCATAGTTAAAACAATCAGAATTTGATTTCCCATCCTTAATAACAAATGCTCCCCAAAGGGAAGACGAAATCATCCACTTGAAATTTAAAAATCTGATCTATCTGGGTCATTTGTCAAGAGCAAATTTTTTTCACATTAGAAAAAATCTAGGGCCCGGTGCAGGGGCCTAGTGCCTAGGGTCCTCGCCTCGCAGGCGGGAGGATTTCAGAGGGTGTCGGTTTGTAGCCCAGCCGTCCACCTCCCACCCAGCTCCCTGCCTCCGGCCTGGCTATGGACTGCCTCAGCACCAGCAGCTGAAGCACTTGGGGAGTGAAACAGTGGATGGAAGATCTCTTTCCCCTTCTCTGTATAAATCTTACTTTCCAATTTTAAAAAATGAAATAGTAATAATAAATCTTAAAAAAAAAAATCCTGTAGAGACTGGTGTAATAGCTCATCAAACTAATCCTCCACCTCCAAGTACCAGCATCCCCTATGAGCACAGGTTCATGTCCCGGCTGCACGCTTCCCATCCAGCTCACTGCCTGTGGCCTGGGAAAGCAGTGGAGGACGGCCCAAGGCCTTGGACCTGGATGCATGTGGGAGACCTGGAGGGCAAGCTCCTGTTTCCTGACTTGCTCAGTCCCAGCTGCTGCAGCCATTTGGAGAGTGAACCAGAGGATGGAAAATCTTTCTGTGTCTGTCCTTCTCGCTGTGAATCTGCCTTTCCATAGAAATAAACCTTCAAAACAAAGATACTCCTCTAAAATCAACACTGACCCACACACCAAGGGGTAAAACTGCAAGGAGTTCAAAGAAGGCTTGCAAGTGACACCAAGCAACCACATGACGTCAGCTTGCACCAAACAGAAGGACTTTCTCTAGGTCAATTAACAGCCTAGCATCAGCCATTTCATTAGTTCAGCCCAATAACTGTTCAGTAAATTATTTAATCCCTCTGAATTTCAAATGAGAAATTAGCTTCCAAAAATGTGTAGTTAGTAGGTACTATGCTGAAACGATTAAGGGCTGGGGAGCTTGTTCTGCTCAGTTCATGAGTTATCAAGTAATTCAATACAGGCAACTGCAGGTCCAATCACATTTCAGATACGCCTCGATCTGTGGTGGGGTTTCACAACAAAAGACCTGCATGAAGCTGGAAGAGGTTGAAACACTGTGCCAGGCACTCAGCTCAGCCTCCTGAGCATCACCGCTCAGCAACGCAGTATCTAACTTCTCCCTTTAACTGTTTCAGAATCAATCAGCACATCTTAGAATATGAAATCAAAGTTTTAATTAACTGGATTCAGGCCATAAATCACACTGAGAGAAAAACATGGTCTATTTCATTAGTGCTTCAAATTACACACTCCACTACTGCTTAGTGAATGTGCTATTCCTGCCATCAGCTTCAGTCCCTGGCAAGGTAAGAATTCCTGAGCCTGTATTTGCCAAACTGTTGAATTTCAGAGTTTTTTAAAGACACCTACTACATGTGGACATTAAGTCAAGTGGCAGGAAAGTGCATGTGTCCTAGGCCAATTCCCTCTTCCTCCAAGGAAACTGCGGTCCGGCAGAAAGAAAACTACAAAATGACTAAAACACGGGAGAAACACAGGACAAGATTTTGGAGTGATCAGGAAAGGGGTTGTGCAGATCACAGAAGAAAAATCCAGCTTACTCGTTAAACTCAACTTTTCTGCGGGGAGAGCGAACGACAGGAGGGTTAATATTAACGTAACACTGCACTGGAGAACAGGACACTGACAGGAGGAAGCGGGTGCCCCAGGTCAGAGTTTGAGACAGCCAACTCCAAGCAGAGGAATGCCACCAGAGTACCAAGCTGTGGGATAAATTAACGGAGGGCAAGATTCCAAATGGATCGATTCTAACAGATGACAAAACACGGAAGCAGCTCTGGGAGGGACAATCTGAGGTCCCTTGGAGTCACAGCAGCCCAGGAGCAGCAAGGCTGGACTGTAATGACACCTGTGTTCTAAGGCTCTTGCCAGCTGTCAGGCTCCAATAACCTTGACAAAACCCATGAGAAATGACAGGATAAACATGGGAATGCAGAGAACACCCAGCTACAGGGCAGCCTGCCCACCCTGACCTGGAACTACAGACCAGCGAAAAGGACCACAAGGGCAGTGTGGAGAAAGCTGTGCCTGGTCAAAGCTGGGCCTCCATGAGGAGCAGGAGAAGACACACAAAACAGCTGTGTCTTCTAGGATCACCATTTCTTTTAAAACAGATGAAAAATGGTAATATTTCTGCATTTAAAAAACTGGGGGGTGCAGGGGCGCTGTTGTGTAGTGTGTTAATCCTCCACCAGTGGCTCCAGCACCCCATCTGGGCACACCTCAACCGCTCCACTTCCGATCCAGCTGCTTCCTTGTGGCCTGGGCAAACCGTGGAGGACAGTCCAAGTCCCTGGTCCCCTGCACCCACATGGCAGACCTACAGGAAGCTCCTGGCTTCTGATCAGACTGGCTCCGCTCTGGCCATGGTGGCCAGTGGGGAGTGAACCAGTGAAGATCTGCCCCTCCTTCTCGAACTCTTTCAAGAAAAACAAATCAAAAAAAAAAAAAAGGCAGGCAATGTGCAGGAGGCGAGGTCACTGCATGTCAGAGCGGCATCTCAGGGCGCCAGTTCAAGTCCTGCCCACCATGCTTCCGCTGTAGCTTCCTGCTCCCCGGCCAGCAGGCAGCAGATGATGGCAAGCACTCGGCCCCTGCTACCCAGGGAGGCAGGCCGGGGGCTCTTGGTTTCGGCCTGGCTTGCACATGGTGCGTGTGGCCATTTGGAACTGAACCAGTGAGGAGCACAAACCTCCACACATCCCTCTTTCTGTCATTCTGCCTTCCAAATCAAGACATCTTAAAAACAAAACAAACCCACAGATAGAAGACAAAGACACCTCAACTTCACTGGTAAACTTTGCTCACACAAGTAATTACCCCCTTCCCTGAAATCCAGAAGATAGTGCATGTCCCATTTCCCTCTAGCCCTCGGCTTCCAGTCAATTCAGGCCAACAGAAGACGGGCAGAGGGAACCTGGTAAAATATCGAACATGAATCTTAGTCATGTAAAAACCTCAGTGCCCAAAATACAACATCATACTCACGCAGCTAAACCCAAGCAAGCCCCTACGTGCTGAGTGCCCAAGCTGTCCCCAGAAGCACCTGTCACCAACGATGTGCTCTTGGCAAGTTCATCTACAAAGAGACTACAGTGACTGCCTGCAAGGTCCTGAGGCTCGCAGCAGCCAACAGCTGTGAAGTGCTTACCAAGAGCTAAGTGATCCCCCAGGAAGCGGGTTTGTGGTATTCCGTCAAAGCGCACGGCTTCCCCAGCACCCCAGGCAAGCCGTTTCCCTGTGCAAACAGCCCACAGATTTGCTGCGGTGCACATGAGCTCATGGCATACACGGCTGCCACATCAAGGGGTCCAGAAACGTCCACGCGACCCGCGGGTGCTGAAGAACAAGGAGGTGTCAGGGACACATCAAGTCAAGTCAGAATCCAAGCCAGCCAGGAACACTTTCCACCCAAAGATACCATTAAAATGGCCGCCTCTTCATGAAATCTGAGCTTGCGTCCCACCCCAAAGTACAAACACACTGCTTCATGAGCCCCGACTCTCTCCTCGCCATGCCAGCCGCCCAGCACTCGGTTCTGGCAGGAATGCTGCCCTAGGCACACACACTGTGGCTCCTTGCTGCCTACCTCATGTGTCTGCTGTGTGTTGCTTCACAACTCTCACCCACACACAGTCCCTCTCCACGGCAGTGGGCAGCACCTACACAAGCAGTGGCTGTAACAGAAGCACTGCGAGATCAAAAGTCTTATCTGTGTGTTCGTCCACTGCCCCAATCCCAGAGCACAGACGAGCCAGCCTGTAGTGGGTTAAACAACCGTCTAGAGGATCTCCACAAACATTGCACTCATCGAGAGCTCGCAGACCAGCCCCGAGGGGTCTCTGCTCAGCGCCTCAGGGTGCACAGGACTCAGCACATCCCCATTCACAGGGTGTGCAATAACCACAATTTATGTTCAAATCACCTCTTGCTAAAAAAAAATAAAATAAAAATAAAATCTGGTTTTTGAAACCTTAATTTGTCTGACACTTTCTAAGGACAATCTGTAAGTTTTAGAAGTTTCTATTTAAAATATTTAAATTGTTTATAGAGAAAATGATGTCCTTCTGAAGCAATCCCTAGTCCCTAAGAGCTGGGAGCAGGAGTTTCGCCAGGATCCCAGCTCTGCCTGAGCACAGAGGAGGTTAAGGGATAGACTCCACTTCTGATCACTCTGCCTGAGCAGCTCAGAGACAAGCGGGTCAGCCGTAACAGTGCCAGCGCCCCCTCGGCAGGGATAGGCAGGGAGCAAGACTTCCCCTCTCCCCTGCTATCTCTCGAAGCCAATTCATAGAAAGCCACAGCTGACACCTGACCAGGTGAATCAGGAAGACACGAATGGCAGAGCACATTACAACGACCTGCTGGGAAAGGCAGCTACAGTCTTGGTTTATGAAGAACTTTCTAACCTGAATGAATGCAACAGGAGACCACCATGCTGACACAACAAACCACCTTGCCCGGGGCCAGCGGTGCTGTGATGCAGCAGGCAGCGCCAGGGCCTGCAGTGGACACTGGCACAAGTTCAAACCCTGGATCCATCTTAATGGAACAGAAAAAGTAGCAGAAAATGACCCACATGCTGGCCCAGGGAAACCACATGGGCAAGCAGCAACAGCATCTGAGCAGCCCAGCTCTGCTCCCAGGCGTGGGGAGTGCGCCAGGTCAGACAGCTCTCTGTCTCACCCCATCTAACTGTGCCTTTCAAATAAATAAATCAATGTGAAATAAGTGCCCTCCTTTCAAAACTTTCGGAAAAGGTTAAACCTGATGTCCTATTTAGGCGCTTCTATTGACACACAAAGTATATAATTTATATGTGCATAAATCTACTCTTGCAACAGTTGCATCTACAATTTGGCCCTGCGCATTTAGCAGAAAGATGTAGACTCCAGCTCGGTCTACACCAAGTCTGTCCTACAACAAGTATTTATTGAGACTACTAAGTGCTAGGCAGCATCTTGGAATCACTGGGAGCAGAGCTGGACAGGAAGCTTTCAGACAACACCAGACGTGCAACAGAATTGGTGCACTTGCGAAGCATTACCTTTTAGACAGTCAGATTGCGGGGCTTCGACCCTGAAACAGCTGTCAGTGTTGCTTCAGCTTCCCCTTCAGCTATCCTCCCAAAGAACAGCCATGCTGAATCTGACCGGGAAACGCTGGGTTGGAGCACTCACTACCTCCGGTTTGCGTACGAGGCCGGTTACAAGCTATATACAACTCTGACATAACTGAATGGTGAGGATGGCCTTGCTCTGCAAGGGCAGTGGTGAACTGCCTGTGGCAATTACAACACTTTAAACACACAGTTAAAACCAAGGCGGACGGAAGAATGAGTCCAAAATTCATCTTCAAAGAGACCTCCGCTCTGTCCGCATTTTTTCCAAATCAGGTTAGGAAATGACAGCTTCCCTTAAGCAGAAATGTCCTGCACCCCCCTAAAGGCCCTTTCTAGGGCGCCCAATAGGAGAATGGCCTCTACCTTACAGATACTCATTTTGTTTACTTGAGTGGGAGGTAGAGGAAGCTGGGAAACCTCTACCCACCAGTTCACTCTCCACACTGCGACAGCCAAGGCCAGGCTGGGCCAGAGGCTAGGCGCCACGAGGGCAGAAGACGCACAGCCCAGAGCCATCACACCTGCCGCGTGCCAGGGCGTGCCGCCGTGACTCATACCCACCGAGCTGCTGCAGAGCTGCTGCAGGTGTCCGACAGCAGCTGCACCCAATGCAGTAAGTCAGCGGAAACAGACTTGCAGCGGGAGTAGCAACTTTGCCCCAAGTTACTTAGTTTCTATGTCTGAAGTTACTTAATTGCTGTGTTTTTAGTTTCATCAATAACTGAATCTACTTCCGCTAGGCTCATTAAGAGAGCAATAGACGGGAGGGTCAGAGAAAGACTTTTCATAGGCTCCCGCTTCATGCCCCAAATGACCTCCACAGATAAAGCCCGGCCAGAGGGCTCAGCCTTCAGCAACCAGCACAGGCCGAGGGTCTCCCTGGCTCTCCAGCAACGTGCCCGGCTTCACCTACCGCCCACACACAGAACTTTTCCTTCACCTTTACTCTACGAAATTTCTACTTTGCAAAGATTTATATAATTGTGATTCCTCAGTGTCTAGAACTGCCTGGACTATATTCGAGCACTCGTGATGAGCAGCATGCTGTCCATGGCAAGCTCTTTGAATATTTTCAAATGTGCCAAACGGGGGCACCGAGACGGCCAAATACCCGCTTCACACCCACTTGTTTTCCAGGTAAGTCGAACTGTGAAAACACTAGAGCAGCTTTCCAAAACCCTGCGTGAAGAACAGGGCATCACCCTGAATAAAGTGGATCACCGAGCAGCCCAGAGCGGAAGGCACGCGATGAAGTGTCACAGCTATTTGCAGAGAGCTGTCCTCTGGTCGCGACAGCGCAGGTGCAGCAGACCCCGGCTGCACACGCAACTGCCTTCAAAGCCCACTCTGCCGTCCAGCTGCTTTTTTTCAATTCTTCCAGCACAGACATGAAAAGCAGGCAAGAGAACCGTTCTCCGTGAAGCCACGGGGCGAGCCGGGGCAGCCCGAGCCGGTGTTCCACTTGGCCGCGTGGATTCTTCCATCAGCTTTAATTACAGACAGAGTGGTCCGGTTTGGGAGACAGCCTAACAATTCCCACTTGCACATCCCCCGTCCTGCTAAATACAGAACCGCGGCCAGGCTTTGCCAGGCCTTGAAAACTCAGAGAAAAGATTCTAGCTCAACTTTGCCGCAACTTTGCAAGTTGGCAAATAAGCAAGCAACCAATGGGGGGAGGGGGAAAACTAAAAAAAGAAAGAAAGAAAGAAAAAAGGTGGCCAAGCGAGACGGGGCGGGAGAAGAGTACGGAATACCTGGCCCACCACCCGCCCCCCAAGACTCACTCTGCACCCCTTCTCCTTCAGGGCCAAGGCGGATCAGGTCGCGGCCCGGCCGGGGGTGCTCCGCCTGCCGCCCTCGGGGGGTCCCCCGGCACCCCGGGAGCTCCGCCCGTCCGCTCCTCCCCCGCCGCAGGGCCGAATGGCAAGGCGCCTCCGCGGCCGGGGCCACGCGCTCCGCACCGGGGGAGGCCGCTCGCGCCGCCGGCCCCCGGGGCCGCCCCGGCTCCCAGGCCGCCCGCCGGCCCGGAAAGGCAAAGTTTGGCTCTCGCCATCGCGGCCTCAACTTTGCCGCCAGCCCGACCGCCGCAGGTCCCCGCCGCTTCCCGGCCTCGCGGACACACACGCGCCCGCGCGCTACTCACTCGGGCTGGTCCCGCAGCGCCGGAGCCTCCGCGGCCGCCATCTTGAACTTCCTGACTCGGCCGCGGCGCCCCGGACGGCGGAGAGCGAGTCAGGCGGGGGACGACGGGAGCGCGCCGCCGCGCAGGCGCACGCGGCTCGGCGGCGGGCGGGGAAGCGCGGCGAGGCCGGATGCAAAACCCTACATCCGGGGACGCGGCCTCCGGCGCGCCGTGACGCCACTTCTGGAAGGTGGAGCCCGGCGGGCGAGGACCCGGAAGTCCCCGCTGAGGCTTCGCGTTCGATTGCCAACCAGCACGGGCCGACGCGGGGAAGGACACGGCCAAGGTGCCGCTCGGGCTCTGCGGCCCGGAAGGAGGACGGCCCCGCGGAGGTGCCCGCCCCCGGAAGGGGCGGGCTCTGCCGCTCGGGAGGATGCGCACGCGCGGTGTGCGTCCCCGCGCGCTCCGCGGCCGGCTGAGGGCTGAGCGCGCAGGCTGGCGGCCGGCCGACCCCTCGGTAGCTGCGTGTCCCGCGTCTGCCGACTGCAGGGCTGCCCTCCGAGCCGGGAGCTCGCGTGCGTCTGGGGAGACCTCCCCGCCGCGCCCCGGCCCGGACTGTGCCTTTTGTCCCCCCGCTCCCTGGCTCCCTGTGACCCTGCTGGTGCAGCGATGCCAGCGTGCTGTGGAGGGCGCAGCAGGAAGCCGGGCGGGTCGGCAGTCCCGGCCTGCTGCTCCCTAGGGTTACGGTTGGGGGTGCAGCTGACCTGCTGGCCCTGCGTCCGGCGCGGGGCGAGGGGTCTGCACACGGCGGGTGCACCCTCGGAACTTGGGGAGCCGTGCACCGCGCTGTAGGTGCGCGTGCTGGGGCGTGCTCCTCGCGCGTGCGCCTGCCTCTCGCGTCTGCAACTTTATTTCCAGGTTTTTTATGCACTTGCGAGTAAGGGATTTGGTCCACAGCTCTTTACGTGCCTTCATTGCATAAGTAACATACGCATTAGAAACTGTTTTTTTTTTTTTTTTTTGCAACAGAAGATTAAAATTCCCTGTAATCCTACTGCCCGTAAGTAATTGTTTGCCTTTGGAATACCGTTTGTCATCACGTGTCTGTGTGTGTGTAAGTTTATTTGCTTTAGTTGAAAGAATTGCAGAGACCACACTCTTCGGTGGTGCTGGTTCACTCCCCAAATGGCCACAGCGGCTGGAGCTGGGCTGGTCAGGAGCCTTTTCCAGGTTGTCCACGCGGGTGCAGGGTCCCGAGGCCCTCCTCTACCGATGTCCCAGGCCACAAGCAGGGTGCTGCGTGGGAAACGGGGCAGAGGGACTTGAAGGGTGCCCTCACGGGATGCTGGGGTCTCAAGAAGGGGTTGACCTTGCTATGCCCCCGTGTCAGCCCCTTGGCTCATCTTTAAAAGTTGTTATTAGAAATGTGGTTTGATTTTCTTTTCTAGGACAGTAAAGCTAGGATGCGAAGAGCTACTGCAGGCGTGCCTGCTCGGAGGGGTGCAGTGGCCCCTTTAACCGAGTCTGGGTGGGTGCACAGGGAGCTGTCTCCCTCGGCCCACGTGCGGGGTGCTTCTGTCCAGCGGGAGTTCTGGGCAGAGCTGAACTGTCCTCTGCCCTTCGTGTCCTCTCTGAAGGGGCAGGCCTGTCTGTCTAGAGGGGTGGTGGTGGTGTGGCCACACGGGTGCCTTCCTGGTCGTGGATCCTGGCACAGGAGGCCGGCGCTCGCTGACCCCTGCAGGTCACTCGGTCTCGGGGCTGCTTCCCCTTTAATCTGACCAGCTCTGCCTTGGGAGCCGGACCCACGCGGCGGCCGTGCTGTCGGAGCTGCGGCTTTGTCTGCGCCTTCTTGTTTTCTTAGTTCTTTTCTGTCCCTCTGCTGTACCTCTCACATACAGTGGCTGTATTGCAGCATCTCAATTCTTCAGCAGCGACTTTCCCCCGCTTGTTCTCTTAGTGCTTATTCCGGGCTCACCGTGTGGAAGCGGTCTCCAGTACACATTATCTTGTCATTGTGGAACCAGCTTTAGCTTTGCATTAACTTACAGTGAGATGCAGAAACCTTTCAATATGGTGTGATTTAATTTTCTTGCTTTTTTAGTATTATATGTGTCGCTATAAATGTTTCAAAGAATACTTTATTATAATGATTATATCTTTGAAGCATATATTTATCGCTTTTGTCATATAAAACGTGTAGGAGGACATTGTGACCCTAGAAGGTCAGCGAGCACAGGATTACAGCTGATTGGACAATATTTGCATGAGAACAACCGAATGGCTACCTTTTCTATACCTGATTGGATACCATTTGTATAAGAACAGCTGAGTGGACAGTATGTGTGTGAGAACACTTGGCGGGATATACAAGACAAAGGCGTTCCAAACAAAAGCATAGAAACAGTTGATGGGTTTTGTTGATGAGCTCAATACCTCCTCCCTTATCCCATAGGACCCTCTGTGTATAAAATCCGATGGCACTAATAAACTTCGGCTTTGACATCAGTCAGGGTCCACGCATGTTATTATTGGCTCCGTGCACCAAGTCCATCCTTGCTGGACAGCGACAAAAACTCATTTGTCATTATTTCAGGTTCTGTTTCTTTGTTACTTTTGTAGATTTCAGTTACCACTCAGAGTAATTTGTTTAATTCAATAGTTTTACTCCTACTCAGGCTCTTGGTACTGTTGCTAGCAAATGTATTTGTATGTGTTATAGGTTCAACATTTATACAAAGTATTAGATTATATGAAGTGCTTTTTTCTTTTTTTTCTCTCTCTCTCTTTTAAAGATGTATTTACTTATTTGAAAGAGAGACTTCCCATCTGCAGGATGGTCACGATGACCAGCGCTAGGTCCGGTCCGAGCCAGCAGTTTGTGTTGGGTGTCCCGTGTGGGTGCTGGTGTCCAGGCACTCGGGCCGTCCTCCACTGGCTTCCAGGCCTTTGGTAGGGAGCTGGTCACAAATGGAGCAGCCCAGACTTGAACCAGCACCCATGAGGGCAGTCAGTGCTGAACCAGTCCAAAGCCAGGAGTCTCTTCCAGGTCTCCCATGCGGGTGCAGGGTCCCAAGGCTTTGGGCTGTTGTCAGTTGCTTTCCCAGGCCACAAGCAGGGAGCTGGATGGGGAGTGGAGCTGCCAGGATTAGAGCCGGCGCCCATATGGGTTCGTGGGAGCATTCAAGGTGAGGACTTTAGTCGCTAGGCTACCGCGCTGGACCAAGTGTGTGTTGTTAAGACAACTTTATGGGGTATAATTTACATCTCAGCCATTTTAATATGCATCTCAGTGATTCTTAGGGAATTGACACAGCTGTCAGGCGTAGCAGTGTGTCTGCAGCTTTACTGAGACACTGAGGACAGTAACTGGGAGGTTTTGTTTCACACTGTGGATGAGTGTCGAGCTGACCTATGGCCTCTGATGGGGACACTGGGTGTACTCGGACAATCGCCCCCCTGGCCCGCCTGTAATGCACCACCACAAGGCGGCAAAGCCCGAGTTTGCAGAACTTGACTCTTAGAACTGCAAGCTTGTATCCCCTGCACTCAGCCCCACCTCTCAGACCCTGGTAACCAGTGTTTGTTTTGTTTTAAAGAAGTTTTAAAACCTGATTTCTCATTTTGTTTGAGAAGCAGAGACCTCCCCTGCGCGGGTTCATCCGCAGCCTTTGGTTTGTGTGAGCCTCACGCCGTTTAGTGTAATGTCTTCATCCAGGTCAGGCCCACGAAGCTGTCTTCCTGTCTCTTCCTTATGTTGTAGTCTCTAAGCCAGGGACTGGGTTCTCGAACATTTTTGTTGTAGGACCGACCCCTCAGTAGCTTCAGAAATTATTGAAGAGCTTGTATTTGTATGCGTTACACCTGTTGATATTTGTTGTAGAGATTAAAATTGAGCAATTAAACAATATTTTAAAGTATCAGAAGCAGTTGTGAACATGTAGTATGTATTTTAATAAAAGGTTTCCACTGTGCTTGTACAGTCTTGAAATGTGTGGTTGCCTGTCGGAGTTGGATTATGAAGTCAGTTTTCTAAGTGTGTAAGAGTCTTGAAAAATTGCAAATTTGTGGTATATTGTTGCATCCACTCCACCACTAAAACAGTATGTTACATTCACCAGTGACAGTCACAACAAAGCTTTAATTACAACAAGGAGAGGCAAGACAACCGGCCAGCCTCGACCCTTACCTGAGCGCGGCCCCACAGGACCACTGGCAGGCTTTTTATGGGGGCAGTTTACAATAGCTTGTGGGGTGAGGGAGGTCAGGCCGCACGCTCCCTGCTTACCTGGGCTGGGCAGCCCCTGCCTGGCCCTTCTCCGGGCCCTGCTCCAGCCTGGGCGCCACCTGTGGGTTAATTAGGCGGGGGCCTTGATTCATGGGGTTGGGGGCCATCGGCACTAAAGGCCACGTGGGTCATTAGGCTGCGAGCTCACACAGTTTGTTAGCCAGGCAAGCAAAGCAGGAGTGTGGCAGTTAGCAGTGAGCTGTTTGCTCCATTCCGATTTCAGCCCTACAGTACACACGTCTCCATTCTTCACAGCATTCTTGGACAAAATAAAGAATAAAAACCTGTGGAATCATTTCTGCACGTCATCCGTTTTTGGTAGAATCTGCTTTAGAGAACACGTGGACCTCATGAAGGGACGCCTCGTTAACAAGCCGCTGTTACAAAGCACGTGTGAGGAGATGGGTCTGCCCTGGGCTGGGAGGGCTGGGGCAGAGGCCAGGACCTCTGCAGCCCCGGCCTGCTGGGAAGAGGAAGAGGCTTGGTTTTGTGTTTGGTTATTCCGAGTGGGGTGGCGTTGGACCTGAGGGACTGCTGAAGTTGCTGCAGGAGAGGGGGGCTGTGCTGCCCAATGTGGCTGCAAGGCAGCCCTGGGACCCTCCTGAGCGGACGAGGAGGAGTGCCAGTGTAGAATGGGCGCCTTTCCACCTACTGCAGATCTGTCCTTGGAGTGTTTGACCGACCGTGAGTAACATATGTCTTTACATTCGCTGTAGAGTTTGCTGCCTCGCTTTGCTATGGAGTGCCTGCCTGGTGCCAAACTCCGTTCCAGACATGGGAGAACAGAGGAAAGGTCCCGGCTCTGTTGTCACTTATCTCCTAGCTCATAGAAAACAGATG